TTAAGAAATATGTAAATAAGTATAGATAACATTGCAAAATGAAATAAATAATCATTTATTATGTTGATCAACAATTTTACTCGAGAGTTATCTGTATTTTCTTCATCAAATTAAAATTTATGTAAAATTACAAAACTTTTTCAATTCATTTAATTTGAACTTTTATTATATTTATTAGTTTATATTATTTTAAAAATATCAGTATTAATTATTTCAGGTTGGGTAAATAACGAGTCTTCAACAATACCAGTATCCTACGACATTTAATGAAAATAGCCCGTCTTAGTAACTTTTATTGACAACTTAAATATCATTTGTGTCAAATAGGAGAGTTACATTGTTTTAGGGTTACTACTGAAGTTATTGTTACGCTCGTTTTTGGTATCTCAATTTGTTTCAACTCAACTTTTACAATAATTCAATTGATAACATTAACGTATGTCTATCATAAAACTGAAAATTGACGTCAGGATCCTCGACTTATATAGCTTTTCTAACTGTCCAGATTTTTCTTGACAAGGAATTACATTTCCAGGACTATTCTATCTTCTTCTTTTACTCGTACTTTTACTTATGACGACCGCAGCACACTGTAGGACGATAGGTGACATTGCACTTCTTTTTGTATTCGTACGTTTCCTATGACAGCCGCAGGCTACTGCAGGGTAACATTGCTTCCTCTTCTCTAATTATTCGTCCCGAATAACTTGATTACTGGGACCTGGGGGTCGATTCTCGACTCGTAGGAATATTTTCCTATAGGAATTTTTGACATTTTTATGTACATCGAAAATTTATGACATTTTCCTACATATAGGAAAGTGTCACAAATTCCTATAGGAAAAGGTTCCTACAAGTCGAGAATCGACCCCCTGGTTGGAGCCAACGGGGAGGATCTGGACCACGATATGGTGCTTTTTAATGTGAACTACCTTAGGTTTACTTCCCGCTAACAACTGCATGTCGATTCTAGCTTTTGCTTTATCGTTATTAGGTTTCAAACGTGGCCGAGCGAATTCGTATACCTTCTCTAATCTGTCTCTTAAGGTCTGTATACGGCCCTCTTCTTCACCTGCCTTCCAAAAAGAAGATCATGTAGAACCCAATACAGTTTATCGGCAGTGTAACTGGGCCGAAGGAGACTTGCCGGATGCCGGACTCGGCCCGATATACCGGTAAGGCTTCGGCATATAGGTAAGGCATGTTCGCCCAGCCGAATGTCGGCAGTCCATTAAATTGTAGCCGCGTTCATATATATAATTCGGCCCGTAAGGATGCCTCCCATGTCTGGAAAGCCAAATATGTGCCATGCGCGCTTTCTACTTCTAAATTACGTCAAATGGTACGGTCCTCCCGGCTCAGAAGAAACTCTGACAACGGCAATCCGAGTACTCGGCTTCTCGTACATGCCGGTGTCAGGCCGAGATTTGTGGTTTACTGGGAAGTTTCATCTCCCTTCCAGTAATCATCATGGACGGAGTATAACTGATCGTTTCATGTTCCGAACTTCGGTAGACTAGCAGAAAGAGAGGAATTAATGTGTCCCAGTCCTTTTGATTATCAGAGACGAACATTAAAAGATACTGACATATCGTTCTATTCTGTCTTTCTACCATTCCGTCGGACTGTGGGTGGAGAGGCGTAATGCTTGTTCTGTTTCCAGGACTAAGCTTCTTCTAGTTGGTCGTGGTTTTCGATGCAGGATCCCTGTTCAAATGTAAGACTTGGTTGCACCAGTATCAAGGATTATCGATATACCCCTTGACCAATAGATTTTGTTCGTTTTTATTTTTTAATGTGTGTGTGTGTGCGCGAATTTTGGGGCCCATTGTTACAGCCGACGCCTACCCCGTAATGCTGTAACTATTTCTTGTTGGACTAAGTAACGGGCTTGATTTAGGTGAATTTTTAGCATCATTCTCCGATTTTCGATTCATAGAAAGAGCCCTGCTTCAAAAGGTTCTTTGAAAGTGTCCGATTCTTCCGCAATTGAAGCATCTCCTGCTTTCATTTTGGTTATTTCGTTGCATATTTTGCAGGATATTTAGGATTTCACTTTTCTGGAATCTAATTTCTCTCAATTTTGCGCGAGAAAATCTAGATATACTTTTTGCTGTTTCGTATTCCTGGGCTGCAATCAGTGTCTCACTCAACGTCTTGTGGTATTGTAGCCGAAGAGCCTGCTGTATTTTCACATCCTGTAGTCCATCAATTAATGCCTGAATGCCGATTTGTTCTAACAAATCTTTGAGTGCCTGTGGATAGGCCAAATGCAGCAATCTTTTTATATCGGATTCGAATTCTTGTAAACTTTCATTGTGTTTCCGACTACGAAATTTTAGCTGGCTTTGGAATACCTGTTTCAAATGCTGCTGGGCATATCTTGTCTTTAAAGAGACGAGAGATGAATAACTGGGCTCTTCTTGGGAAGTAACTGCAAAACGAATGCTGCCTGACCTCGCAGAGACATTAATGAAGCCGCCATATCACTTTCTCGGCCCAGCCATTGGCTCTAGCTGCAGCTTCAAATTGGAGTCGATATGTTTCCCATGTTATCCGACCGTCAAACGTGGGTGGCATAAGGGTCTTGCTACTATGGTTTTGTGAGACTGGTTTGACTATGGTTTTGGTCGGTTATAGATGAAGACGAGGTAGTGTTTTCAGCTTGGCTACGAATTCTTCTTTCTAACTCAGCCATTTCAATTCTAATTTGCCTTCCTAACTCTACTCTAGCCTTTTCTTGTTGTTCTAAATTATGTTTTAAATTCTCTAAATTAGTTTTTATATTCTCTTGCTGCTGTTCCAAATTAGTTTTTAAACTATCTTTTTGTTGTGCTAAGAGATCTACTAGATTGTTAGCTGGCCTACCTATTGCTTAAGGGTTTCTTGAATTTGCAGCAAACCATTTATAATTTCTACCTCTGCTTTCCTACGCCTCTCTTCCCAGATAGCACAGGACGTCCCATGGACGTCCTGATTTGGTCCCTTGTTGGTCCCGGACCTAAATAGGACGTCCACTGGACTTCCGATTACAGTTAACACTAGGACGTCCTCTGGACGTCCTATTTTGGTCCCGTTTCGACAAGGCATTTAGTTTTCGGTCCGAGTCCGGGACGTTAATGGGACGTCTATGGGACTTTCTATGCACTAGCATCGTTGGTCTTTGAATCGATAACTTGAAATTCAACGTTTTGATTTTGCAAGGACAGAAAACCTAACCTATCATTTATTTTCAAATGAACAACAATAGCTACAATTTTCGGCATTCAATAATTAACTTAAATAAGCGAGTTAGATTAACGAAGATAAAAGAAGGTTATATAGTGTTATTTGTTATTTTTTTGATGCTGGTGGTAAAGTGGTTATAAAGTGAAGTGAGTGTTTTGTGTTTATGTGAGAATAAGTGATGTGTATTGTCGGTAGCCGCTGGCGGAAAGAAAATACCGTAATGGCGGAAAGTTGGAACAAAACTAATTTGGACAAAATTATAATACTCAGTTTTGTCGACACAAGCTATAAGTAGGACCAAAGGTTTCATCTTGCCAGCGCTGTGTGTTAAATTTAATTCATTCCTGTTTTTTTTTGTAAACTGAAAACGTTTAACTCTAGCTAGGTTTTTTAGGATAAAAGTTGATAAATAAAGCTCTTCTATTGTTAACATTTTTGTTATTATTACCCTTTATGGATTATGGTCAAATATCGTCCCTCGGACGTCTGATTTACGTCCCTAGGACGTCCCGCAAAGGTCCCTATGACGTCCTTTTGAGATGTCCCTAAGATGGACAGAAACGGGATATTAGGACGTCCATGGGACGTCCGATTGACGTCCCGGTACCAAAATAGGACGTCCCTCGGACGTCCTTTATGTCCCTAAAGGACGTCTTTTAGACGTCCGTGTGCTATGTGGGTTCCTTCTCTTTTTCCTCGTCCTTCCGACGCCTTTTCTTTTTCTCCTCTTCTTCCTTCCTACGCCTTTCCTTTTCCTCTTCTCGCCTTACTTTCTCCTCCTCTTCCTTCCTACGCCTTTCCTATTTCTCCTCCTCTTCTTTCCTATGCTTTTCCTCTTCTCGCCTTACTTTCTCCTCCTCTTCTTTCCTATGCTTTTCCTCTTCTCGCCTTACTCTCTCTTCTTACATCTTCAAAAACCATGCTGGTGGGCTTGAAGTATCCATATCTGTTTCGTGCGCAGTGGATCTAGTATTTTCCATGAATAGAATGCTTAGGTAACTTTTTTATTTTAAATCCCACCACTGCCACCAATTTTACGCAGGTTTTTGATATCTCAATTTATTTCAACTCAACTTTTACAATAATTCAACTGATAACATTAACGTATAACGTCTACCATAAAACTGAAAGCTGACGTTAGGATCCTCAGCTTTTATAGCTTGCTTGACCTTTCTCGAACTGTCTAGATTTTTCTTGACAAGGAATGACATTTCCAGACTTTTCTGAACTATTTTATCTTCTTCTTTTACTCGTACTTTTACTTATGATGACCGCAGCACACTGTATAGGTCGATGCGTGACATTACACTTATTTTTGTATTCGTACGTTTCCTATAATGCATGGTGCAGGGTAACATTATTAATGTTAATTTTAGCCAACTGATGACATCAGGATACTGGTATTGTTGAAAACTCTGTATAACAATTTTCAACACAATTAAACTGTTTCAAATAAAAAGGAAACGTTATATAATTTATTCCAGAAGAAAATTACTGTCTTCAATTTAGTAGACTGTAATAAATATATAGAGACCCTGATAATTTGAATAATACAACTATAAAAAAACTAATATTCTTGGAAAAAATAAATATTATTTATCATATCATTTTTTGTTTCTTAAAATAAAACGACGTTTTCACATTTTAAAAAGTTACGAAACTAAATATTTCCACGCAATTTCTCTTGAAAACAGGTCGTTTTGATTTTCTCAATTGGTCTATTGCTTACAAAAAAATTTAAATATTGTTATGTACGTACATCTTTATTTTAGCCTTAAACTTGAAAGAAATCCCCTACGAGATAAAACCTGTTTCTTTGATAAAAGCGGGAGGGGAGCAGCACAGTAATGAATACAGGGAAATAAACCCGATGGAACAGGTTCCAGCTCTACATATTGATGGAGTTACCCTTGTAGAATCGCTAAATATTTTGCAATACTTAGAAGAAACTAGACCACACAGGCCCCTGATGCCTAATGATTGCATCAAGAGAGCAAAGGTAAAATATTATTCTCATTCTCTTTTTCATTTGTGCAGTTGTAGTATTCATAAAAAATATATAGGTACCGGTACTTATACCAGGGACAGAAGTTGGAAAGGCTTTTCACAGTTCTCTCACTTCATTCACTGAAATTGGAGGTTTTGCGGCGAAGCTAACCGAAGTAGACGCAATACATTGACGTACAAAATTATTTTATAGATGTTAATAACAATTTCGGGTAAATAGTTTAATAATTATTTCTAATCTATAAATACATGCGATTGTTCGGTTCCGCCGGTAACAATTTAAAATTACTTATTCTCGAAGTCGTCCGATGTGATTTGACGTTTATCCACTCTCTACCTACCAAAAGCATTTCCAACTTCTGTCCCTGCTATAATTAAACTAATAACAGGAGCCAGCTTTACACAAATTAAAACACCTTACATTCTAATACCTACTTGTCTGCTTTTTTATGATTTCAACTATTATATATCTAAAAAAAAAAAAAATGAAAATGTAGATAATTCTATTCTCAGCTTGTAATTTAGATTGGAAAATAGAAACTTTCCACCCTTTTCTTCTCGACTATAAAGTTAGTATACTTACTTTTTAACTTTTAATAACTATATACATTATTATAATCACACGTAGTCTGTGAAAAGTATTATAGAATTACTTTCGAGAAACCAAAATTATATAATATTGATACAAATTTAAAAATTTTGTACCAAAATCATTCTTATTAAATTTTCAACAACTTTTAAAAATGATTGATTTCGAAAAAAATCTGATCAAAAACGGGGGGTTAAGGGGGTTTAAAGAAAAAAAAAACAAAAACAAAAGAAACAAAATTTCCAGGAAAAATGAAGCTCTATAAGGAGACGGAAGCCTATGAATAAAAATGGGGTTTAAGGGGGGGTTGTAATTTAACAAAAATAAAAAACGAAAAGCAATATCAATATAAATTTTTTTATAAAACCCAAGCTTTATAAGGGGATGAATCTATATATTCTAAAAAAAATCTGAATAAAATTATGGGGGCACTACTAAGTAAAGCGATTTAAAAATTGGCGGGCTTTATAATTTAGATATTTGAAGAAACATTTTCCAATTAAACAACTTTTATTTACAACTACTAAACAAACAATAAGTTTAGTGAATTTTTGTTGTTTGTAAATGTTGAATAATGGAAAATATCACTTGTTTTAATTAAAAAATAAAATTAGGTGAAAAATAAAAATTTTAACAAGTTTAATTTATTTAGAATTACCAAGTGTCTCATTATCTTCTAACTGCATATTCTGAACGTAAGCACTATATCACACACTAAATTACTGAAGAATAAAAATATAATATGATAATGCCAAGCATTATACCTATATCTTTATTCTAGTTTTTTATTTAAATTTGATGTACATGTGGATTATGGACTACAATAGCAAAAAAAAAATATCGCCAAATGTATTGAAAGGTAAACTGAAAATAAAACAGAATGTTTAGATAGCGAAGCCGCATACTTTTGCAGCCTGGACGAGAAAAAGTATTTTTCAGCAGTTCATTTGTAGTATATTTAAAAGTTATCCTTTTCGATTGTTTTCTGTCCGAAAAACGACGTTTTATGATACATTTGAATAAAAAATAAATAACATTTCAAAAGCTAGATACTTTGTCTCTTGGCAACATTGTTTTTACGTCATCACTAATACATCGTTTAGAGAGAGGGAGGGAAAGGGCATTTGCCGATATACCGCAACAAAAGAATAAATCAACATAACGAGATCGACACACCACCACTACACAGTTACTATTTAAGTTGACATCCATATAAGCATTTTTTCCCAATTTTTTTACTACAGCTAATGCAAGTCATTTAGAACGCTACCTCAGTCTGTTCATATTGATTGAACAATTTGGGACAGTGTCGCTGGAAAATGACTGCGTCTTATAGACCAAAGTGTCGACGTGGATAATTTCAGTACTTGGTTTTGTACACATAGCTGCCACATGAGATAAACAATTATTGATCCTAGAGACCAGGATGACAACAAATGTGTTATTTACTTTTGATTCATTCGATTCTAATTTTTTTTCTTTAAAATTTATTGAAAAACTAACAACATACACCGAAGTCACATGTACACTGTGTATGTAGGCATCACATTTGTTTGCCATGAAAAAAGAATTCCAATTTTTTACCAGCGGTAGTGGTAATTGATGACATAGGTACACATGATTGTTCCAGATTCTGTGACATAAACTCTAATGTATACGAGTTTTTTTGCTAGATAAAACCATATTGTTAATAAGCATGGGAGAATCGAGTTATTGGTAGATTTTTGAGTGAAAATTAGTTTTGTAACATCCCACCCCCCATACTCCTTTGATTTTTGTTTCAATCTGAAATTTTAATATTTACCTCTCAATTTTGTTTCACTTTTAATTCTATACTTACTGTATTTTGTCTTTTTCCTCTAGTAGTAGTAGTAGTGATCGTCTAGTTGATTGATAATGTTAATTAAAATAAACCAGGATTTGATGCAAAGTTTGGTGCAAATTGGTAAATAAAACCATACAAAATTTATATTTAAACCCTTTTATTTTTCACACTTTAAAATATAACATAATAATTTGCAAAGTAGATTACAATAGGTACTTTTCACCGAGATCTGACTCGAGTCCCGCTCAAACGCGGACCACGTTCATTTGCTACCAAGATATACTTTATTTAGTTTGATACTATCCCAGATACACAGGGTATTTTCTTAGGAATTTATTTCGACCGATGAGTATAGAGGTGATGACCAACGAAGTTAACGAACAGCACCAATTCGCCAGTTAGTTCACGTGCTATGTTGATGTTCACATATACTATATAGTTCAAACCTAGCAGAATGGGTGGCTAGTATAGGCAACAGTGTCAATTCACCAGTTCGATAGCTAACTATTAAATTTCACCATCTAGGTTTGCGTAGATTTGTGTCCATAAATAACCCTGTATATTTAGAAAACATTTATTTATATATTTTTTTAAATGAGCCACATTCATCCGTTAAAAAACAAATGTCTAACTTAACTGAATCCCCGAAGGCCATCTGGTTTATTTGGTTACATTGATAATATTTTGAAGGAAATGTCGCCCCTTATTCAAACAAAACTTAGGTGATATCTTAAAGAAAGTTAAATTAACCTTTTTGACTCAACATTGAAAATCCAGACATTAGGTTTGTCTAAACTAGACATTATGTACTAATTTTATCTAGCGTTGTGGCGGCGTCAATTCTGGGTACGACACAGCTTTGAGCGTGGCCTTGCGTCGAAACACCTAGCGTCGTGGTGGAGAAGAATGTATTTATTACGGTACTGCGTCGGGACTGATATAAGCAGGGAAATACTTAGGTGGTGCTGCGCGACGAAGGCTTTTGTCACGGGTATTATGAAGGAAATATTAGGTAGGTTTACGGGGCGGTAAGCGTCGGGAAGTAGGGCGGTGATCTTCGGGACGGCGGACGCAGGGACGTAGAAAGGTAGCGAAGTAGGTTGGCGAGACGTTGAGCGTCGGGACGTGAGAATGTTCGGGAGATAGATTGTCGGAACGTATAAAGGTAGCGAATTAGGGCGGCGGCACGTTGAGCGTCGGCAACAAGACGCGAAAGCGTTCGGAAAATAGGTCGTCGGGACGTAGGAGCGATTGTAGGAAGTAAGAAAGGTACTGAATACTGAACTTAAAATATAACTAAATATGAAATCAACTAAATTAGACTGGATTTAAAATAATAAATCAAATCAAGTTCCCGGGGTTGGGTATTTATACCCGTTTTAATGAGCTTTTGTCACGTACATTGGTCGTAACTCCGGTGGGATAGAATTTGGGTTGATAAAAAAAAGGGTTGTAAGATTTATTACGTGCCTTGAGAAATTCAGGGAATTTTGTGTCGAAATCGGCGTTACTATTCGAACTAACTTAAGATAAGCGCGTTAAATGTTTTAATGATTATTTCGTGAAAACAATTAGTTCTATTTTAATGGTTATTTCAAGAAATGTTTTATGATAGTTTTTGGGTAGAATTCTCATTTGATAACTTTTTATCTGGTTATTGGGCTTGTACATATTAGAAACCCCGCGAACAGAAATCTTGCTTTTATTTATCAGGCATCATAGATAGGATTTAATTATCTAAAAGATTTTTCCGTTAAATGAAGGATTTTGAATTTATTAAGAATGCAACTTTTCTTTAATAAAATGGAATTAATAAATTATGAAGGTTAAAGAAAAAGTCCTTTATTTCTCACAAAGTCAATTTATTGGCGACCGGTTTCGAAGTTGTCACTTCATCATCAGGCACACCTAAATGGAATATCAAGGAGTCAGTTGTAATAAAAACAATTATAAAAGCATGAACGGACTTTAACATATACAAAATAACAGAAAAAACACAAAAGAAAGTTAAACAATAACCTTGACTCACCTTGACTAATTCCATAAAGGAAGCGCTACAAAAAGTTTAACAGAACGAGTTAAAAAAGTCATGTGTAATAAGTATTTTTTAAAAAATGTTTTAAATGTAGGTTAGGTTAAACCACCAGATGTCTTTTTGAATAAAATAATTAATTAAAACACATTTAAGACAATTATTAACTAAACAACACAAAATAGTTTTACAAGCACAAACAGTTTAAAAAATTTAAGGAAATAATGTTAATTACTGAAAGTAAAAAGTAAAAAAGTAAACTTACTTTTTACTTTCAGTAATTAACATTATTTCCTTAAATTTTTTAAACTGTTTGTGCTTGTAAAACTATTTTGTGTTGTTTAGTTAATAATTGTCTTAAATGTGTTTTAATTAATTATTTTATTCAAAAAGACATCTGGTGGTTTAACCTAACCTACATTTAAAACATTTTTTAAAAAATACTTATTACACATGACTTTTTTAACTCGTTCTGTTAAACTTTTTGTAGCGCTTCCTTTATGGAATTAGTCAAGGTGAGTCAAGGTTATTGTTTAACTTTCTTTTGTGTTTTTTCTGTTATTTTGTATATGTTAAAGTCCGTTCATGCTTTTATAATTGTTTTTATTACAACTGACTCCTTGATATTCCATTTAGGTGTGCCTGATGATGAAGTGACAACTTCGAAACCGGTCGCCAATAAATTGACTTTGTGAGAAATAAAGGACTTTTTCTTTAACCTTTACACTTAATCCCTACTACTCACATATGGCTACCCTCACTCCAAATTATGAAGGTACCTGGGTGAGGTAAGTCCATTTTTATAAAGATTAGCCGTTAAATCTGCCATCAAAAGGCGATCTGGATACACTAGGCTGTAACCCTCAACGCTTGAGATACTTCTACAAATTTCTAGTAGTCTGTTGTAATGGTTGATATGAAATAGAAATTAGAACGAAGATATATAATACTTGGCATTCTATATTATACTCTTCACAGTTTCACAGATCCCGCCCCCCTTGACCCCTAATTTTTATTCATATTTTTTTTTTCAGAATCAATAGGCCTCATCCCTTTAGAAAGCATGATTTTTCCTGAAGATTTCATGTTGATGTTGTCGCTTTTGGTGTTAGATTTCTATTTTTGTTATTTCAACCCTCCTTAAGGGTTAACCCTCAATTTTTTAAATCATAGCCTTAACCCCTCTTTTTAATTTAGTTTTTTTTTTTTTTGTAGAATAAATAGACTTCTACTTCTTATAAAGCTTGATTTTTCCTGAAGATTTCAATTTAATATCGTTTTTGTCTCTGAATTAGATTTTTTTTTCAATATATAAACCAGGGGTGGGCAAAATAATCGATAATTTTCGATTAATCGATTATTTTAGAATCATTCGATTAATCGATTATTTTTAATTTATCAATTCTTTTCGATTAGGTTCAGTTGAGGTAAATGTAAACGCACCAAAAAATGGAAATACAAGTATTATGATTTGAAAAACGGCGCTAATTCTTCGAAGACATTCTTTCACTTTTCATATCCGGTCAGCTCGTGACGACAGCTTAACTTGTTTCTGTATTTTCAAGATAATTTTGAGACAGTGCATTTATTGATGCCTGTTTGTGGTGACATTTTTTTCTTTTGAATCCGTGTTTTTTGAGGGAAGCATTTTGTAAGGTGCACTAAGAGTTAGGCTTAGTTTATTTTTCTGTACCCTCTAGAGTAACCAGGAATATTAATACATTCTCTCAACCTTTTCATAGAACAAATTATGGTTCTCACTCTTTTATTCCTAGAGTAACAAGATCTGCTAACAGACTAAATGTAGAATGGATTACTTCTCCATCAGATTTTTCTAACCATTTATGTATATGTGAGGAGTAATTTTTAATTGTTTTTAATATTTATGTATTTAAATTAATTTATTATTATTTAGGATTTTATTACTATTTAATGTATGTAATATGTATTATCTGTAATTGTATTGTTTTAATGGGCTCTGACCCGTAAATAAATAATATAGGGGAAATGTAAACATGCCTTCAAATTGCATATTTTTGTTACAAAATGTATAAAAACTAATTTGTTCACATTTGTCCCATGACTTTAAGCAATGCAATGCTTAACTAAGAAGAAACGCGTTTACAATTACCCCGACAGGTCTGGGGTAATTGTAAACACGATATATGTTGACATTATTTTTTTTTTTTTTTCAAAAACACATCTATACTTATAAAAAAAAATATACGAGCCTTAAAGTAGAGGGTCTAACTTATTTATATCTCAATTTGTGAATTAAGAAAACGTCATTTAGTGTCAAAAACTAAACTGAATTTTAAAAACTGCGAAAACCGTTTCCATTTACCCCTAATCGATTACTTTAGATTATTCAATTATTAATCGATTATTTTCAATTTATCGATTATTTATTTTGATAATCGCCCAGCCCTAATTTCAACCCCGCTTATCCCCCATTTTTAGTCAGATTTTTTTTCAGAATCAATAGGCTTCATTCCTTGTAGAGCTTGATTTTTACTAAAAAAATTCAAGTTGATATCTTTTTTCGTTTTTAAATTTTCAAATTGATATCGTTTTTCGTGTTTGACTTATCGTGCGGACAAAAAACGAGACATCGGACAGACGGATGAAGCGAATGCACAATACTCTTCAGACTACTGTGTGAAGAGTATAACAAAATTGAACTAAATCACATTTCAATTCCTCAATTCTTCTTAAATTGTGTTCATAATCAATAACTAATTTATTTTTTATTATTAACAGGTTAGAGAAATCTGTGAAGTCATAGCATCGGGTATCCAACCTCTTCAAAATTTAACTGTTCTTATAATGGTAGGCGAAGAAAAAAAGGACGAGTGGGCCAAACACTGGATAAAAAGGGGTTTAAAAGCAGTAGAAAAATTATTAGCCTCAAGCGCTGGAAAATACTGTGTTGGTGACGAAATAACCATTGCAGATTGCTGTCTCATTCCACAAGTTTTTAATGCTAGAAGATTTCATGTCGATCTCAGACCGTACCCTATAATATTAAGAATTGACAGAGAGCTGGAGAACCATCCTGCCTTTAGAGCAGCGCATCCTAGCAATCAGCCCGATTGCCCTCCTGAGGCAATCAAATAATCTCGAAAAAAATATATATATTTTTATACTTTATCCCATTATATTTTTATTAATATTTCTTGTACCAAGCCATTTTTATACGTTTTAAATGCTTTATAATTTTGTACAGCGTTTTCAAATATTTTTAAGAAATGTTTTTAAAGTTTTATCTTTAATTATATACTCTGAGGTAGTACAATAATTATATTATTAACACATAGATATATTTTAATATTTAGAGATGTTATTCTGATTTTATCTAGTGTTTATTTAGGAAAATAATTACCTGATTACCTGTTTTTTGACCCCGGTAAGAATATCTTCTTTATTTGAAACTTCGTCCTTCGTAATTTTCACCTTCATTATCTAGGCGTAGAATGGCCGTGTAAACGTGGGTAATGTGCCTATCAAGGTAACAAAATAGAGCCGCTAAGTCAAAAATATTTGGCGAGGGTTTAATGTCATAATATCCATGTTTCCCAAATAAGAACACTTGAAGCATTTAACAACATTTTACCTTTATTTTATTTTTTCACTATTTTGTTTAACCATTGTTTAATGCTTATTCATATTAGCATATTTATAACTCGGGTAATGATTTTATTTTAACATCTTTTATATTTTAGACAGTTAAATAAACATTTGTTTTTATTTCGTTTTTTTTTTTAATAAATATAAATTATAAACAGATCAAAAAGTTTCCAAACACGACAATTCTCTCAGTGACAGGTTTGAAGCCAATTTTTAAATACATTTATCTTTCACTCCAAATTTTGGACAACCTGACGAAAAAATAAGATTCAGAATCTGATTATAAGAACAATAGTTTAAATCAAACGCATTTAATGGAATCAATTTTATTTAAAAATATAATTTACTACTGTACACATATTCTAAAAAAAATCGAGGTCAATCAAAAAATCTGAATTACCTGAATATCAAGATAAAAAGTTGAAAAGTTAAGTTTGGCCAAGATCTTACTGGCATTTTGTGCATTTTTTTGTAAAATTCATATCAAAAAGAAAAAATTAAACAAGTTTTCAAATTCGATAAATTTTTCTTTACAAAATGAATTTTAATCGAATTTGAAATCAATCTGCGATCAAAGATAATGAGTTCAACATCCGGAATAAAATTTCATGTGAGAACACTGTCAATGAACCATATCTTTTCAATATTTTGAATTCTACTAAGGCAGTATTTTACTTGCTTTGTTAGAAAAACTTGATTTTAATGAACAGGCGTGTGACAAATTCAAGAAAATGGCAAGTCGTTGTGTTAAATACTGGACCACATGTTATCTTTGTAAATGAAGATAAAGTTTAAACCACAAATAAACCACAAATTTCTCGATAATAATGTGAGATTAGTTAGTTATTTTTGCCCAAAAACAACAAAAACCTTAATTTTTCAATAGACTGAAAATGGACACTATCTGAAAATTTTAGAATGAATAGTTAAGTTAAGGGGCCAGTTGTTTATGTCGATTTTCATTGTTATTATAATATTCATTAGTTAACAAAAATCAGTAATATCGTCATGCTAACCGCAATAGGTCTTATGTCAGAAGAAGATTTAAGTTAAAAACCAATTTGTCCTATAATAATTTTGCTCACTAAGCAAAAAATTTAAAATATAACATATCGGCGTACTCCACTATTACATTAATTATTAAGGAGTGACTGTTTTCTGTTCCTACTGAGTTTCGCCGCCTCTTAACCAATAATTAAGGTTTAACTTTCTACAGCATTGCCAAGATTATATCTTTGTTCGTTTCGAGTTAATTTGACATATGACGTTAACTGAGCAAATTCGCATAACTATAATAAGTATAATTTTGTGAACTCTCACGTATTTTAAGAATATCGGTCGCAGTACGGTTGAATTCGGTTAACTGTGGATAAATCCATTTTATGCATCCACTTTTTTTATTAAGCTCTTTTAACCTTCACCTGGCATGCTCATTCTGAGTAACATACCTGGTCTCGTGGGGTACGTACGAACCCCAGTGATAAAAATCTTTGTACAAATTGAAATATTGATTATTTTGTTTGAAAAAATTCAGAGATCCTCTTTAGATACCACTTTAAATTGTAGAATAGTCAGAGTTGGAAAAATAAAGATCAGCGTTTTAAAAAATCCGGAAAACTGGAAAACTTGAAAAAAAGCGTTTTTTACAAAAAAAAAATCATAACTTTTTGTTTTTCGATAAAGATGGCTGAAATTTTAGCTGTGTCTTCTTCTGTTACATCACTATAAAAGAATAATAATTGTTTTAATGGGTCTTTAAAAAAAGGTATTTATTTTGAGAGCGCTATCCCACTGGCCCAGGTATAAAAGTATATCCCTTGACTACCAAAAGATGTCATTACGAGTTTCGATTTCGAAGATTTAGATATCGAAAATCGACGAGAAATAGCTTGGGGTATGTACGTACGTACCCCACGAGGCCAGGTAAAGGTTAACAAACATCAAATAAATATTCCGATTCACAAGAAATTAAATGTTATGAAATAAGACAAATGGAACTAAGAAAGATATATATGTATTTTACCTCAAATTTATCTCGAAATAATGAATTTGTGTTCTGTAACCTGGTGACAATTTGCCTTTAATATTTTTTTAAGAAACAATTTCAGTATTTTAGAAAAATGTTCGTTAGTAGTATCCAAAATCTTCAGCCGATTTTTTTGTGTTAAGTGTAATTCAACAGTGCGCAAATAAAACAATTTAATTTGACAGATTTCTCACATAAAGTTCGAGTTAAATGTTGGCTAATCACTTCATAAAGGCATGCCAAAAAAATTATGTACAGAAAATTATCATACCAAACCATTAATCAGCAAAAAAAGGCCAAACACACGTCTAGAGAATGTCTAAAATTTATGTTTCAGATTATTATCTCAATATAATTATTTATTTACAAAATCGAAACTTTTTGTGAATAATTTAAGCCAATTTTTTATGGAAATTAGTCAAATCCAAAAATGTAATAAAGAAAATGTTAGTTCATAAAACACTGCATTAAAAATTACAATTTGATAATCATTATTATAAATTAATTTTGATAACACTTCCTCAAGCATGCTAATATTTATAGAATCGTACACAGTTTTTTTTTTTTTCTAAAGGCTTATGGCACATATAAATATTAAAAAAGTAAATATACATTTCTTATATACAGCTGTAAATTAATATATAATATGAACAATCAAAAAATATTCCTTTCAACACTTCTAGAAAGTAGCGCACTACAATCGAAGTGAAAATTTAAAGAGAAAATGTAATGAGTTGATACAAAATTACGTGTTAATGTACAAATTTTAACAGTGTACTGTACTATTATTTTTGATCGCAAACAATCCAAAAATTACAAAACGTCATTCACAAAAATCGATAAAAAAAAACATAAACCCTACACACTAAAATTGTACATTTGTTGGGCCAACAATCGATATATCCATGAACACATACCCTGTTATAACTGATAATTAATTTGTTTAATTTCTATTTCAACAGTGAAAAAATGACAGTTCAACTTACAGTAACAAATTTTGACGGTAAGAAAAAAATCAGTCCACAAAAATCAATTAATTAAAAGTAAACGTCCCAACTTTCACTTACAGTTTCTGCATGATCAGGACAGAGCTCCTTGAAAATTTGTTCAATTAGTGTACGCCTAAAAATTACAATCAATACAATCAATTCAATCAAAATTATATATAGTTTTTGTTAACCTTTGTGACTGGGAAAAAACACCTTCTAATGACAGAAGGGGTAGGGTCCGAATACAATTAGAAGAACACAGCTACGTCATCATTTGGCAACGTAATTAATTGGTTATCGCCACCTAATGGGTGTTAATATTACAGAAATATAGGAAATATAGTTTTACTCCTAACAACTTACTTAATTTTTGTTTATTGAATTTTATAGATAATATGCATTCGAAATAATGGTTATGACGTAGCTGTGTTCTTCTAATTGTAATTGGACCCTACCTGGGTACCCCTGCCTATTTTCGTATTTGATTTGGCAACTGCGCAGCGACATCAAATCGACCGCTTGCGGACTAGTATTTACAGGTTAGTTGTATGTTTTATTTCGTTGAGTAAAAAAGTGTGGGTAACTTCAATTTTGTTATTTGTTTTTGTAAAAGTCTGATAGCGAGGCTAGTCCAAGTCACATAATTGGGAAATCAAGGTGGCGGAAAAAAGGTAAGAGATGAAACGATAATTTGTTATTTTTAGTGTACAAATAATAAAAATAGTCCTATATAATATCAAAAAGAGAGAAAATTTTGCCGACAAAATTTGTTTTTATTAACGCACCTCTCTGCTCACCTGGAAATAATTAAAATTTTGTCGCTGTAAATATCTCTAGAGAGTTTTGTCCAGGTAGTAGTTTTGCCATGACATTTTGCTACTATAAAACACTTTAGTGAAATAGTCATATTATAATTTGCTTGATGTTGCGTATTTTTCGCGTAATAATAGTAGTAATAATAGAGAGTTGAAGTGTTTCCAGTACGTAAACGTGAACGTCAACGCACAAAAATAATGTTTACGGTACAGTCCAAAATATGAGTTGTAGTTGTTAAACGCATCGTGACATTTACGTGTCATGACATAATGAAAATTATTATTAGAATTTCTTCATTTCCAATTAAAACAGAGGTTATGTTATTTGCGTTACGTGCATACGCCAGAGCCCGCAAGCTTACGTATGTTCGTAGACGTGAACGTGACAGATATTTGAATGCGCATGCGTAGATGTCAATTTTCACGTATACGTTTACGTTCCCAACATCACTTCAACTCTCTAATAATTATTATAATAATGGAGATCGGAAACTTATTATTGCAGGCTGTCTTCTGTGGAGTTTTCTAGAGGCAGTAAAAAAGTTATCAGATGAAGAGCCATTTGTTGCTTCAGATTAAGAGGAATATATTCCAGAGGTATCAGGTGGCGACTCCAAAGACTTTGATATCGAAAAGGAGTCTGTAGTGGAGCAAGGAGATTCTGAATCCGATGATACAGCCGACGAAGAAGAAGCGCCTACACAAAACATCCTGGGATGGTAAGGATGGCACTTAGTGGAGTAACGCACCAACAACACAAAGGCAAACATTAGGTCGTAACATTCTCCGCGTAAAACCGGCCCACCATCCTCTAGTCGTTCATATACGGCCCGAAAAATTTTCAAGTCTATATTGTCTCCAGAAATGTGTACCTTAATTCTCAGGTATTCTAAGTAAAAAGGTGGAAATATAACTAACGAATGTAACAAAAAAATGGTAGAAAAATATCAACCTCCCAACAGACCAACCCCGAAAGTATTTATTCCATTCACTGAAACATAATATAATTAGATTAGATTATTTTTAGGAATTCTCATTACTGCTGAATTACACCTGTCTAACCGGAAACACGTATCTGAAATGTGAAAGCTAGAGTCATTACCTCTATTTTATGCTGCCATGTCTCGTGATCGGTTTAAGATGTTTCTCAGATTTATTCACTTTGATAATCTAAACACTCGTGCTGAACGCACCAAAACAGATAAAGCTACACCAATTCGAGAGATTTGGATTATGCTAAATTCAAACTTGGCAAAAAAAACTACAAGCCAAAAGAAAGTATAACTGTCGATGAACAATTGTTTCCTTACAGAGGACACACTAAGTTTACCCAGTATATTCCGTCGAAACTATGGTATAAAAATTTTTTGGGCTTGCAATTCAGCAAATGGTTATCCTTTACAAGGTCAACTGTATACTGGAAAACCGCTAGGTGGTGCACGTCAGGTAAATGTCGGCGAGCGTTCAGTTTTGGATCTAGTGACAACTTTTTTACAAGTTTGCTAATGGCTCGTACTTTGAATTCATGGAATATGACTTAGGTAGGTACTCTTAGAGAAAATAAAGCATTTTTACCTCCTTATATGCAGCCATCTAAAGGTAGACCTATAAATTCAACCATTTTTGCATTCAACAAAGATGTAACATTATGTTCCTATGTTCCAAAGAAAAACAAATCTGTTATCCTTTTATCAACGATGTACACAAAAAGTCAAGTGGATGATACTACTGATGTAAAGCCTGAGATAAGATATTATAAAACAAAAAGATTGTTGACACCATGGATAAGATGCTAAGCTGCTAAGCGAGTATAGAGTAAAACGTAGAACAAATCGGTGGTCATTAGCACTTTTTTTTTAAAACATAATTGACGTTGGAGGTTTGGCTTCTTACTGTATTCACCAGGAACACAATCCAAATTTTAGAGCAACTGATCAACGTCGTAGGTTTCTAAAAGACCTTGCCAATGACCTGTGCTTGCCTGCCGTTCAAATGCATTCCCTTATTCCAAAAGTTGTCGGTATTTCAGTCACTAGAAATGGTTCTTAGTCGGCAAATAGTCGATTCCATTGTTGCTTCACAAAGGGAAGAACCAAGGCGTGATGCTTCTGGGCGCATTATGGTGGTTGGTAAATGTCAAATTTGTCGATAGTTAAACCACAGACAGAAGAAGACCCGTAAAGCGTGTCAATTCTGATTTAAACCAGTTTGTAGATCAAACTTTATGTCAAAAGTGTAACCAATAAAAAATCTAACCTTACCTTGTTTTTTGATACTATTTATACATTAAACAAATACAAGATAAATTTTGAGTTTTAATTTTTGCTATAAAACATTTATTTGCATTTAAAACTGATAGGGGTACCCAGGTACTCAAACCATCATTTGCAGGTGATAAAACTTTGCCCCTTATTAATTTCAAAAATCGCCAGCAAATATAACTCAAATTGTAATATTTTGTTAAAATAACCTAGCTTAGAAATGCCACGAAATCACACACCTCAATGGATTTAAACAGGGTACCCATTTAGTCACATAAAGGTTAAAAATGTATTTTGTGTTTAAAAATGCATTTTGTGGTCAAAAATTGGTTTAAGATGGATAATACAAACAGCTCCTGTTCTTTAAGTGCTTTTATCCATTATGCATATTGTTGAAGTCTCTATACACCTCACTGACAATGAAACTAGGGTCACATTAATATCTCCTTTATTTATGAAGCATTTTAAACAAAACACTAGACATAATTTGACACACTTAAACAAAATGTTCTACTTCCGGTATTACCGAAAATGCCATTTTGGTTAATTTTTTAATGAATAATTATGTATAATGTAGTTTTTTTTGGAACCTATGGTTCAAATTACATATGTGGTTTGGCTAATGGACTCAGTTCTCGCAGTCAAAAAATTCAAATTAAAAAAAGAAAATTACATTTCAGTCTTACAGACAATTTAAGTGGTGCATATTGTCAGATTTGCCATTTAATAGGTACCATTATTAAAAAATACGTTTAGAAATTTATTTTTGTCTGAAAGGTTAATTTTTAACACAATTGGTAAAATGTTAGACAATTAGAACTATTAAAAAAAAAAAAAAAAATTGGAAAAAATAAAATTTTGGCGACTGTCATAATATGTAATTTGAACCGTAGATTCAAAATACATATAATAGGGTGTCCTAAAACACGCATGCCAAAGGAAACCTCAAATATTAAGACTTGATTTTATGTTGAATGAATAATAATGCCAATTGTTTGACTTTAACACTATTTCCAGTATACATCTCATAAAATTTTGTTGTTTTGCCAAAGCTAACTTGATATTGAAACAAATTATTCTTAATCGCAAAAAACGCAAAAGTTGAAAAATAAAATTTAGCCAAAAGTACATTATTTTTGTACTTTTGGCCTTACCGTTTGCAAACATGACATAAAAAATTAAAATTTTAAAAATAAAAAATATAATTAATTGTGATTACAATCAAAATTCGAGACGCTAAATTATTAAGATTGATGCCCCCACAGGCAAACTTTTAGCATATAAGAAACCAGAAGCGATGTGATTTTGAAAGAAAGACGATTAGAAGTAATGAGACGTTGACTACTTTTCAGGTTTATGAAGCATTGGCGTTACTAAGGCTTAGATGATTTTTTTAAAAACCATTTCATGTCGAATTTTAATTAGAGTTTACAAATTCTAACAATTTATGTAAAAATATTAGTCTGTCAATGTAAAAATATTTGTTCCCTTTATCCCATAAGACAGCCCATATCAAAATATTTGGTCCCCTGTACCACTTACGCCTGCACCAAAAAGTCAAAATATTTGAGCCATTTGCCCTTTAACGCCAGAATACTAATATGTCATTAAATTAACGACGACCGTTTTATTTAAATATAAAATATTACAAAAAAGTCAAATAGACCGCTGACGGAAGAAGAACCGAAGAAAAAAAATAGAAGAGATCATGAATGGGCAATGGGCAATGGCCACTGTGTGTCTTTTTGAAAATGTCAACAAAGACAGTAGCAACGCTTATGTCAATACTATTATACAAAAATGAAAGGCCCTTTCCTTTCCATCATCGGTTCAATGATAGAACTTAGTAAGATCTAACTCTAATCTTGTCGACGCCTGGATGCGACATAGACTGATTGTTACCAAATTTACGACACACCATTCGTCGAGAGATCTGCAGAATTTTGAAGATGCAAGAACACGATCTAAATTCTTAAACTTTGGAAAGAAAAAGGACAATTTGTTTTTATTGTCCAAGTAATCTCCAACAAAATTGGCGATTAACTATTAGCGGAGAATATTGAGAGCCTTTTTGTTCTTCAGATTAATCAAAAGAGTTCTTTTTATACATTATTATGCGTCAATACATGCACAGAATATACCTTAATTTGGATATATTTTTATAAACACAACTGGACCATGTAATTAATTTATTTTTTCTACACCCACATAAATATTAGTTTATCTACGCACAGATTACAAAACGAAAAAGTATGCTATTGCCTTTAACTGAACGAATATATTTCATATCCATTCTAGGTAGTGAGAACACTGTAAAAAAATTAAATCCACCAATCACCGTTCATATTTTGATCAACCGACTGCTATTATTTTTAAAATTTTAAATAAGTGACAATTCTGTCAAACTAATTGCCAGTATATTTTTCAGTTATTGAGATTAAACATACATTAAAATGGGTTATTCTTGTGTTGAATCGATAATTAATAGTATTTCTGTTTTTATTTAGTCTATAATTATAATGAACTTTTTCTTTTTTTTTATTTTAAAAATTATTAAAAGTCAAATTATTTTAATATTTAATATTTCTGAGCTATAACGTCAACAAATCAACGGCCATATTGAATTTCATTTGACACTTTGTTTTAGACACCCGTGAAATGTGAAATTTACAACCGTTGCTTGAGTCTGGGACCAATAAAAAATCGACTCCTATGACGTTTATTTGTTTCTTAACCCCTCATTGGCCGACTAGGGCCGATAATAACAACTATTTCATAGAGTTTGAACACGCTTATTTCAGAACACGCTCTTAGTAACAAATCCAGTTACTTTTTCCTATGTAAACGTGTCTTTTCAATTAACTCCTCTAAGTTTAAAAACAGAGTATAGTATGTTTGTCCTAAGTTTGATCAAAATCGCTTCATAAATAAAGGAGTTATTAAGATGGACCTAGGTCACCTGTATGCCTTTACTGTATCTTTTATGTACCCTCTACACTCGGGGCGTGAATTTTTCCACACTCGAATTGTTCTATTGTTCACATTCAGTCATTTTTACGTGAATATTTTGTAGAACAGTAAATTCGAGTATGGTGTCAGTAGCGTAGGTGTAGTATTCCCGTAGATTTGCAGTTCCAACCAATAAAAAATTTTTTTCTCTAATGACAGCGGGTAATTCAAATTATTAAGAATGAACGCTAAATTAATTAGTTTGTGATAATATATTACTTATTTATCTTTCTTTTTATATATCATTCATAACTACATCCATATAATTTTTTTATTTGTATATTTATTATACCCATTTCAATGAAACTTCCGTTGCACATCATCAATAATGAAAATTGTTTATCAAATTGAACAGATGAATCATATTTGTTGCTTTTCAAGATTGAAGTGGGCTATTAATATGTAATGGACAGTTGCTAAATCAATATTTATTTTTACAACATGTATAATTGAACTGTCAACAGTATTATTTTTGTGTTTAATAAACAAATTTATTTGTTGATTTTCAAAATGCCTAAGCATTTAAATACCTGTGCAAAAGAATTAGTGGGGTCTCGAATAAGATATTTTGAAGAAGAACAAGATAATAGTGTCCCTTTATTACCAATAAATGCAGCGTGTAGCAGCGACGTTAAATTTGAATACTTCGATGGTAAGCACAATTTCCCAGGCATGAAAGAATAACCAATTTTAAATTCTCCAAAAAGGCGACCACATTCCAAACTTGTAACCAAAATTTTCAATTCTGACTACATTCGTGATGTCATTTACGATATGTATAAGAAGAAACAAGTAACTCTTGTGAAATTACAGGAAACACACAGAGAAATTTTTAAGGGCTGCAAAATATTATTGTATACAGTGTTAACCAATATAGGATTTAAATGGAAGAAAGATGATCCCCGGTGGGGTCTTATGGAACTTCCTCATGTTGCCAGTTTTTTAAAGTTATACACAAGTACACAAAATCTGTCTATAAATTTGTTTATCTGGATAAAACCTGGATTTTTCAAAATGGCACAGTTAACTGCTGTTGGCAAAATACCGATAAAAGTAGCGTAAAAACTACAAGAGTTGATGGAAAAAGATTCATTGTTCTTCATGCTGGAAATGAAAATGGTTTTATTTATGGGGCAGAACTAGTGTTTTCATCAAATAAACCACCAAAAATGTTTAAAGTAGATCAACTTGCAGAACAATATGCCCACACAGTTATTCCGTTACCTCCTTATCATTGTAGATTTAACCCAATTGAAATGATATGGGGTATTGCAGAGAATTATTATAACCAGCATATTGGTATGAATGGCAACTCTATTCAAAATTGTTGTGGAGAAGCACTACAGAGTGTATCCCCCAAATCTAGTGTAATTGTATCAGACATACTAAAAACATTATTTCAGAAATGTTGGGACCGTGAAGTTATATTTGAACGGGAGGATATTTTACCTGTAATTATTAATTTTAATGATGAAAGGGATAGTGATTTTTATTCTGAATAAAGCTTTACTTGTTTATTTTTATTCTATTTATTTATAGCGGAAGAACTACTTCTGAAAGCTTCTAAAATTGTATATATGGGCTTAATGAATTAATTATTTAAAGTGTCAAAAGATGGAATTAAAATTAAACATGGGCTTTTTATAATATGTTTCTTGCGGTCCTCGAATTTTGTAGCAACATCTACTTTCATGAGTTTATGATGTCCATTGGAAATTTCATTGCATTTACTATAACATAACATTTAAAAATGTGTTTAGTTATGTCATTATTCATCAGTTTAATGGCCTCCGCCTATTCAGGTATCTCTAAAAAATCCTCAAGGTTTCACATACTCTTTTTCGCAATAACCATTGATATAATTATTTCATATTTATTTAGTAATTTATACAGGGTGTTTCAAAAAGGTATGTCATAAATTCATCCTCGGATAGATTAGCAAAAAATAAGTGGATTTGGCTATATTTACCTAAATCAAAAACTGGCTCTCAACAAAGTTGAGTGTTAAACTAACATTCAGAAAAACGTTTTTTTTTTTTTTGTAAAAAGTTTGCCGTTTCGATTTTTTCTACGAAATTTTTGTCAGTGCTGTAGATTTGAAGGCCCAATATTCTAAGGAGAAAAAAAATTTAAAGCGACCCCTTTTTTTAACCCCCCCGTATTTTTTTGCATAAAGAAATTTGCTTTATCGATCCAAAAATCAAAAAGAACTATGAATTTTTAATTTTTTTTTATAGCGAAATGAACTTTATGTATCTTTCTTAGTTAACGAGCTATTTACAATTTTTTAACTGAATTTCTAGAGCAACAAATCAACAAAACTAAGAGTAGGTCAGGAGTAATTGTACAAAAAACACATATAAAAATCAGTGGTGTGTTTAGGGCTGTGCTTGAGCCGCCCCTGCAAAAACTACCTCTTTGTAAAATAATAAAAAAATCAGATTTACCATAAACATGAAGGTCACCAAATACTAATAGAAAATTTCCCTGACTCTGACTTATGTTTTTTGTCACGTCTTCAGGCATTATTTTTTGTATTTATATAATTCTCACAATATTCTCAATTAATTTAAAGATATAATGAATAACCATATTTATACTCAGTCAACAACACGGTTTAACATTGTTATAAGATACTAAGGTGGCAGAATGGATACTTTGATCTAAATGGATAAAACACAACAGAGACAACAGGCGTAAGCATCTCAAATTTGTGAGACATTTATATGTTACGGCGCGGTACGTTAGCATGCCATTTGTTTACTCGTTTCATTATAATTTAAACCCACTTTTACAGAGTATTCCCATAATTAGATATTTGGTCTAAAAACTTACTTTGAAGCCAATCCTCCTCCAGGTGGCAATCCATCAATATTAATTGACATTAGGTTACGATAAATTTGATAAAAAGTTCTATCTTCACTTTGTTCTACAGTTTCTGAAATTTAAAAGAATGTGTGAAATAAATCTGTCATCAAAAGGTGCCAAAAGTATTAAAAAAAAAAACAAATTTAAAAAGAAAATTATTGATTTTAGTAAAACAACATCAAAAACTACTAAGAACAAATAGCATAGAGTTTTTGGATTTATTTACCTTTGACATGCCTTTCAATAGTAGCATCTAATTCTTTTTCCGCCATCACAGCTTCTGGAGTTGGAGTGGGAGCACCAGGAAAAGCAATTAATACTATACTCATATTGTCCCGACTTCCCTACAATAAAAATATTTTTTTGATAATACTACAATAAATACATGCTAACATGCAGTTTATATATTTTTTTAAATCAGTATTCAAAATGTGAAAATACGTAACATTTAAATAATTATTATTTCCAGTTAGACTAGAAAAAAGTAAAATTGCATAGCACATAAACAAAAAAGGGAAAGTTTTTTCAGATTTTCGGGAAGCAAGAAATTTTGAGATTTCATTATGAAAAAAAGATAGGATTTGTTTAGCGGAATAACGTGTTAAGCCTAAATCTTCTAAAATTATTTATGTCCGTTTTTTTTTCTTTTTGACTTCCCAGCCTTATTTTTTAATGCCTGGCTGGAAGTTTCGTTAATTTACTAAAATATGTTACCGCCTCAACTACTGGAAGCAATACATTCCAATAAGAACGATCGATACTCAGATCCCGTTTGACGATTCAGCATAGCACCCGGGTATGACTCTAGACACTAGGCTCCTCTGGAAAGTACATGTCAAAAATAAACGAGAAGAAATTAAAAAGAAATATTGAAAAATATACTGGCTGATAAAAAGAAATTCCAAGTTCTCTACACATAAAAAATTGCTTCGATACAAATACTAAAACCATTTGGACATATGGCATCCAGTTTTGGGACTATGCCAGCAAAAGACACATCGATGGCTTAATTCAAACTGTAAATTTTACAGTAGAGGCAAAAATACTCTCTCCTGACACATGTATCGTGCGTGCTAGGACTTGTTATAAATCGCGGGAATCAACTAGAAAAATTTTTATTTGGGACAAGAGGTTTTAGTGACCAATAGTGTCTATGTTTTTCTATTGAGTAAATGTAAAAACGTGAATTCGTGAAAATTGAGGGATTACGACTTGTTAGAATTAAGCCATGATATCGAAGTTATTCAACAAAAGAACATGATACTGAGGAACATTGTAGAAGCATCTCTGTACTGCCATAACTTCCATCTTCACTGGTACCTAAGAGTGGAGTATGTGAAAAAAACTATCATACAATTCGCCAGCAGTCCTGAACAAAGACTTCTTTACCGTGTGAATGTTAAGTCAACATAAATCAAATAAGAACACTCAGTAAACCATTTGAGTTGAACTAATAGTGAAAAAAAAAAAAAAAAAACTAGTGAAAGAGCCTAAACATAATGCAAAAAGTGTACACACTAAATATTAAGTGTAATTAATTTATTAGACTTTAGGGAATAAGTTTGAGTAGACCTTAGTTTTAAATGTTTCAATTGGGTTAGAAATAAATTACTCATTTGATTGTTTCTAATGACTGGAAAGAGATTTTGTTAAAACAGACAAACTACTGTTGTTAGAAAAATTGCTGGATATAACATAATACGTTTTTATTAAGTTAAATCCTTCTTCAGAAAAATAAGGCTTTTTCATTTTTTTTAAAGAAGGGTTGTTAAAGCTAGGTCTGTCCTGATTAATTTTTAACACCTTCATCCGTTTTTACCATAATTTTACCATTTTGGGTCCAAACCCTTGAATTTCCATATTTAGTTAGTCATTATATTGTTATTGAGTGAGATCTTCATTAACATATATCCCTGTTTTGTTTAGATTTTTCTTAGATTTATTTATATTTTGGAAGAAGTTTCACAAATATTGTGAAAAATACAGCATTTTAAAGTATCAAGTGGATTTTTTTTTAATATTCTTAAAGTATTAACAACTGATAGTGATAAAAATAAACTATTAGGTCAATTTTTACAGATTGTGTAAAGAGACACCATACATTTAATTAATAATTGTTTTGACTTGAAGAATTGGCATATTATTTTTAATAATCTGCCAAAAGAAATAATGGACTATAGTATATCATTGTTTAAGGAATGGTAGTCATTTCCTATGAACATGATGTGCAGGGAAAAACTATAAATCATATGAACAAGCACTCTTTGTGAGTTGACCACTATACTTTTTCTATGGCTATAACAGGTGGCTATCTGTTTTAATTAGTTATTATAATTCATCAAATTAAAATTACAGCTTCTTTTCTAGATAATTATTCAATGTTTGACATTTCATGTCACACATGATTTTATTAAACTAATTAGGGAACGACTACTTTGTGTTATTAGTAAATTGTAATTATTTGTGTTATCAGAATTATCAAACAGTACCTAATTTCTTAATCAACAATAGCTGAGAAAGTGAAGTTTTGTATTACAGCCATTGAAAAAGAATTTATCATTACAAATTAAAATCATTTAGGTATTTACCTTGTACAAACAGGTGTCAATAACTTGACTGGTAACTTCTTGTAGATTATCAGTAACACATAATCGGTTGTGTATGTACGCACACAAATCCTCGTTGCTCATAACGTCCCAAATTCCATCACAAGCCAAGACTAGGAACTCATCAGCCATGTCGTCCTTTTCCCTAACAAATATTTCTGGTTCAGGAGACACGAGTTGCTCGCAGGGACCCATTCCCTTGACATTTTTGTACTCAAAATCACCAAGCGCCCTACTCACCTATAAAATAAATAATACATTAATTGCTGTAAAATAAAAAACCAAATCAATTACCGCTAAGCTTCCATTGACCCTCTGGATCATTACAGAACCTCCAGCTTTTACTATACGATCTCTTTCAGTGGGCAATCCAGGTTTGTGGTCCTGGGTGGAAAATATTGGTGCCCCATCACGACACAACATTGCTCTTGAGTCCCCACAATTAGCAATGTAGATAGTACGTGGTGAGATGAAAGCACAAATAGCAGTTGAACCGCTCTTGTCCTGACCTGAGGTCATTTCTGGCAAGCCACGCATTTTGTTGTCTAATTCTGAAACAAATTAATTTATTAGAATGCTCTCAATTAAAAAATGTTACAAAAATTTGAGAAATTCATTATTGAAAGGTGAATTAAGATAATTTCTAGTTATGTTATCATAAGTTTATCTGAATCAGAATATATAGCCTATAAATTGAGCGTCCTTTGTGAGTATGATTTGATAAAGAATTTTCTAAACACCCCCTCTTTGGAAACTAGGAGGAAACAGAGAGACCTGACATTACTTTTCAAAATTATCAATGGCAGATGCAGCTGTACTGAACTTCTAACAAAAATAAAATCTTTATGTTCCAACGCGCTCAACTCGACAGCAACAAACATTTTATGTACCTTTTTATCGTTTAAACCATACTTTTAGCAGCTGTATTCCAAGAATGTTAAGATTAGCCAACACCAACGATCTTGAGATATTTAACACCCTTTTTCATAAATTTATAAAGCAATTACTTAGTACTGAGCTTTAATGTTTGATCTTTAATTTTTAATGTTTAATGTAAATATTTTATTCAACCTTATTGTCTTTTTAAATCTTTTAAATTCTTTACCTATTTTAGTCTATATGTAATGAATTATACCACGATTGTATTTCACCACCATACATATTTCACTACATTTTAATTATAATTTTAAAATTGTAATTTATTTATCAAATGGGCTTGCCCGTAAATAAATAAATAAAAAATGTATGTGCTGTACTCATCTTTTCTGTCCTTAGTCTTCTTTAAGAAAATATTTTATTTTTCTTCTCATGACATAGGTGGATAAATGTAATCATTTTTTTATGAGATTTTACATTTTTTTTTGTATTTTTCTTGCTTTAAAAGTTTCAGCACCAAGAGTTATTTTCCCACATTGTAAATATTTAGGATAATATAGTGTTTCAAAAAGTTTTCATCATATTGAAAACTTCTTTATTATTCAATTTTCAAAAAAATTAACTCTTGACAAAATTGTCTGCACCCCAAAAAATACATACATAAAAAAATTCCAGGGGAAATACTATTAAATGCACCATGGCATTTACTTGGTTTTGTATTTGAATAGCTTTTGATTCTAAATAACTTTTACACAAGTCATTTTATTCTTGAAAGAATTTCATATTTTTTTTATTCCTCTTTATAGCCTCAAAAATTTCTGGAATTTGTTTCATTAAAATGTGTATTATGGGACACAGAAATTGATAATAACGCTTTCCGTATATGTTCCAAAAAATACAAATAATTTTTTTCAGGGTTCAGAGGATATATATCATGATATATCATGATATAAATTACGATATATATCATGATATTTACACCTTGATATATATCCGATATATTCGATAATTTTATTTTTTTAATTAAAAATGTTTTCCACCATTCTGAACATCCGAAAATGTCTCAATACGCCCCTGCATAAAAGTATAATAACTAGCGATTTATATGTGTTTGTGTTAAAATATTAATGTTAATAAAATAATGTTAAAATCTGTTTATTTTATTAATTATTTTGTTTTTTATTTTTAATTTGAGTCAGAGTTTTTGTTAATATGTTTGTGTTAAAATTTAAAATATAGTTTGTGCAAGAAACAATACTGTTTTTTAATTAAATAATGACATTTTAAAATTGATATATATGGGATATATATCAGATATATTATATCGTGTGATATGATATTTATATAAATATCATGATATTTTCGAACCCTAATTTTTTTACAATGTCAATTTGTCATAGATGAATCTAAACTGACTTCTCTAAGGCCATTAATTGTTATGATACAGCACAACTAATATTGTAATTTACATCTATAACTCCATGCCTGTACTTGAAGTGATAAAAGAAGTATAAAGATTTTAAAATATAATTTTTCAATACTCACATGGACATTAGCTAATCTACGCATGGACTACAAAACGAAAAAGTATGCTATTGCATTCAACTGAACGAATATTATTTCATATCCATTCTAGGTAGTGAGAACACTGCAAAAAAATGAAATCCACCAATCACAGTTCATATTTTGGACATCCAACTACTATTATTTTTAAAATTTGAAATAAGTGACAATTCTGTCAAACTAAATGACAGTATATTTTTTAGTTATTAAGATTAAATATTCATTAAAAGGAGTTATTTTTGAAAATTGTGAATTTAATATTAAATTCACAATTTTCATGTGCAGGTTTAAGTCGCCTAACGTACATTGAAAACTTAACTCACGCAGATGAAGAATGAGCTCAGTATGTATTTAAATGCATTTCTAATTACACTGATGCTGCATTTGAAGTATTTGTAGATTTGAGGAGAAACCTGAGTCATCTGGCTAGAACTAGCACCTTAAATTTCCGTTTAGGAATCTCGACAGTCAATGTCATTGGTAAGGGCACACTATAAAAACTAATTTAATTACGAGTGGATATTAAAACTGAAATCCTAAAAGTGGTGGTGAAGTCGAGGATAGAGCATCTGCCTTCCACACGAAAAGCAGTGCATCAAATTTGTGCTGGTGACTAATTAAATTAAATCTGTTTATTTTATATTTTAGTAAAATTTATAAATTATTTTAAAATTAGTTATTTTGTCTCAATAACCTAAAATATTTTTTTAAATTTGTAGATTTTCGTTAGTAGAAAAAATATAATACTTTTTCCAAATTTCTAGTTTTTAATTATTGTTCTAATATATCTTTTAGAGTTAAAATGTCTCAAGATAAATTCAGTATTAGTAATTCAAATGCACACTGCATAATAAATGAAATTGTGAAGTAAATAATAACACTTGGAATATATAATGGAATCAAAAGCTATTTAAATGACTAATAAATCTTATCTTTGTTTTTATTTACTTTAAAGTATCTAAAATAGTCCTATTGATTACATTCAAAAACTAAAATTAACTTTTTGTGAATAAACTTAATTTTTTTATATCTATAACTTAATAAAAAAAATGAGAAGGCATCTGTGTGCTCAACAAATTTCAACTTGAGGTTATTAAGCCGGATCCAGATCACTAAATATTTCTAGATGTGGACTGTGCGACACACAAAGAAACACGCAAAAATTTGTGTCAGACAGAACACACGCTATCCACCGGTCTGTCGGTTTTTCTGCCAACTTCAAAGAGATTTACGTCGAACGATCCTCGAGTGCTTGTTTTAATGTTGACTTGAATATTTTTTTAGTTTGTACTAGTATTTCAATCACAAATTATTGCTATGCACGAAAATGGATCGCAATAGATACAACAGAACGCACATATTTCGCGACAAAATCACAATTTGCGCCGCAAATATTTTTGTCGAATTCAACATACAACATTCAACACACAAATTTATTGATCTGGACCCAGCTTTAGATTTTTTAAACAATATCATTAGTAAAGTTCAAAAAGATTTTTGTAATAAAAATGCTCTATGAAAGTTTCAAATAATATGAAATTTTTTACATAACCGTAGATTAGATTGAAAAAAATCACATTCATCCATGCTTAAAATGTAAAATTCATATTGAACAAAACTTTTATTAACAAGCATTCAAAAGAACCTTAATTTTGACAGGTTCTTATATAATATAATGCCATTAAGGAAATAACAAATTTTGAAAGGGTTCAAAGAAAATGTATCAAATTCAAATTATCTTGTAACTAATTTTGACTATTCTTAATTTAAATTTGATTTACAATGTCTGTATATGAGACGAAATTACAATTTGCATGCTTTTTATTAATCATTCAAACATTTAAAGAGAGCAGATCAGGTAGGTATTTCACAATAGTAAAATGATAAGAACTGTCAATGGTATCAACATTGGTATAGGTTGCAGCAGATATTGCATAGAACAATAAAATATAACTCTATATGTACAGTTTTACAAATGTTATATTTTTAAACTCAGCTCATCGAGACCTTTCCAGGAATATACTACACCATGTATTAGTAAAGTCACAACAAAAGTTGGCCAAAAAAAAACATAACACTATGTTCAACAAACTTACAAGGTAAACAACACCATGTGCACAGTGCAGATAGTGTTTATAACTCATGTAAATTATGTATGCCTTTGCATCATGTTAAATTCTCTAACATTTCTATGAGAACATAGAAATGTTGGAGGTATATGACACTGTCAAAACATATAAATATGTCATAAAAATCATACATAAATATTCTGACAATTGGTGTCTAACTGCATTTCTTGTCAAAATATAATAAGAAAAGATGATTAGAATGACATAGTGCAGTTTACATCCAAGGTACATAACTGATTGTCAAATAGGTTTAAATTTGTTTCTGTTTATTTTCCTGTCTGTATACAGATATATTTTAAACATAGTGCAGTTTACATCCAAGGTACAGAACTGATTGTCAAATAGGTTTAAATTTGTTTCTGTTTATTTTCCTGTCTATATACAGATATATTTTAAACTTAAGTTTTAATAAATCCTCTAAAAAGTTGATTAGATTTTGTGCATAGTAGGAGCAGGGGTACTTTATAGGGCTTAGTTTTATCTACTTTAAGAAATATTTATTTATGCTTGGAGAAGAAAATTCATCAAATTTTTATCCTATACATGATTTCTCTAAAATAATCCATATTCGATAAATTTGATAAAAAGTTCCAAATTCAAATTATAAAAGTTGTTTGCGATATTCTCTATAATTTACTGATCTTGGCTTCACTTTTGACACTGCACTATCATTTAATAAGCATATTGATAATGCTGTTTCCTCCGCCTATCACACTTACAGATTAATTGCACGTAGCAGTAGTGACTTTAAAGAAACCTTTACAATAAAAACTCTATTCTATGCTTTTATTTTATAAGATTAAAGTTAGTATATGCTTCAGTTGTATGGAGTCCCTTTTATCAGTATCATATAGATCAAATAGAAGCAATTCAAAGGCGATTTTTAAAACAGGCCTAAAAAGTGATAGTATTTATCCTCCAATAGGCACACCTCAGATTATTTTTTTATGTAGTGTTTGTTTGCAGAAATGATTGAACATTGTCAGATTATTTAAATATATTCATTAGAAACCTATAATATACCTAAGAACCCTTTGTGAATTGCCTTCATAACATCTTCATGAAATTCTTCTGTGGCCATGATAGTGCCCAATAAATGCTCTGCACAATGGGCAGACACATAAGCCCCTGCATGTCCATCAAACACTGCAAAATAAGACCAATCTTTTAACGTTTCACCAAGATTAGTTTTGGCCATGTGAGCATCTTCCATCTCCATACGCCAACCTTGCATACTTGCAACCCCGTAACGAATTCCGTTACCTTCCCCATTTTCTAGAAACTTGTCCGTCTTTGGTTTGTCTAGAAAAGCTCCCATCTCGCCTTTTTATGTATATATTGAGCTTGAGAGTACTAGCGTAGCTTCATTTTTCTCTAAAATTCAAAATAGGAGGTTAGTTATAACGACTGCAGTCAATCACTTACTTTCAAATTTCTCACCTATATTACATTAAATTAAAATTATACAGTTATTCATAATTTTCTGTAGAAATTCAACCTCCCAACGACTTTTTTTAAGATCACAACAATAAAATAAAAATATGGCGTTTTAAACTGTAGTTACGCGTGCGCTATCTAAAAATAGAAATTTGGAGATGACAACATTCGCGTCCAATCATATAATCGGGAAAATTTTCTAGATGGCGCATTTATCGAATTCTTCTTTCTTTAATTAAATTTTCATTTTCATATGGCCTGTCATAACAACTTAACAGCTAGCATCGTCTATATGTTATTAAAATATATTAGTTCAACTTAAGGTAAATAGTATAATAAAAAACAAATTATTTTTCTTTTTCTTTTGCAGCAAAAACCTTCCAAGTTTAATAAAAAGTTGAATTGTATCGTGCTGTATACTTCGATTGTTGAGCTCTTCTTTAAAGAAAGAAGATTTTGACTGTTGACTTAAAAAAAAAATAAAGGAGAATGAAATTGGTTTTGATTGGTTTTTAGTTTTTTAGTGAGAGAATTTTTGATAAACTCTTGTTTTTGTAAATTAAATAAATTGGGAAGTTTACATTTGTCGAACGGCGAGAACAGTAAATGTTCATTTCATTGGAATATTATTATATTAATTTTGATCTTTTAAATTTGCCGCCATTACAAATTCTGCAGCGCAAATAAACACAAAAAAAATCGACTATTTTTTCGAAATGGATTGTTTATTTTCAACTAAGAAGTGACAAATTTATTGAGAATTTTTATTTTTCCAAAGTCGAAATTAAATTCCTTAAATGTAAATATGTTTTAGTTTCGTATGTTTTAATTGAAAGTCTAGTCTAGTAGTTTTGATATGGCTACCACCAGCAGTTCGGATGACAGTATTGCTCCTAGAGATTTTCATTTATCTACTTCCACAGACAGTGGCAGTCGTCTAAGTCCTAACAGACAAAAATGTCCTTTGTGTCGCAAGTTTAGGAAAGTATTTTACTGCAAAGATTGCTTTCACAGTGGTTTATTTTACAGTTCCAAACAGAAGATAACTGATGGGTAAGTTGTTAGTGACTGTTATAATAGCATTTAGTTATTGTTTTAATTTTAGGTACTTAGACAAGCAAAAAGCCCTTTTAGAATTGGAAGACAATAAAAAAACATTGGAGAGAAACTGTGTGAAGCTGTTGGAAAATAAACAGAGGTCAGATATTTTGGTAGGTAACATTGGTTTCCTACTGTTTCTGTATCTGTCGATGATAAATGACTAGAGTACATAATACGAGATTTACCTTAAACCTTTCATTCACCGCACCTAACAAATAAAAAATCCTGATCTCAACTTGTTAGCTATACATTATGGTCACGAAACTTACAAACATATCTGCCAAATTATAGAACATTTTCTTTACATCCATTACTTCATTCCTAGTAAATAAAGTATTCATTTTGAAAAAAGATAATTACTTTTATATAGTTGACTATCTCCCTAAAAGAGGTAGGTAATAAATTGAAGTTGCACCAAATACACAGAGATTTACCCTGATACGAGTCATTTCTAGACCGGTCAACTACAACATTACCCATTTTTGTAATTATTTTCTAAAATTTCTTTAGTCACCTAGGCTTAGGGTTAAATTGTCCTAAGTTTTTTGTTGACTGTTTTTATCATTTTTGACTACAAAATTTGGAAAATCAATATTTTCTTTATAATAAAGCTACTTTTGTTGTGTCTCACTGGGATGCACCATTTTCAAGAGAAGAGTATTTGAAAATTTCATGATAAGTTGATGTTATCTTATTCGAAAGTTTAAACAATAATTAGTAGCTCTGTGGAATCAGAAATTTATTTTTTTTTTAAATTTGGAAAACCGATGACTAAAGAAATTTTAGAAAATATTTACAAAAATGTGCCATCAGGACTTCACTTGTAACACTCTGTATCTCGAAAGCGAAACGTTTTCGGAACTATGTTTATATGAACTTTTATTTCTATTTTAGGATGTAGATTAGGCTATTAAAATATGACAGTCTAATTTCGGGACACCCTGTATACCAAAGGGTAAACAGCAGAATCCTGCCGAGTAAATTCTTTGATACGTGTCTACAGAGGTTGAGAGCCTGTAGATATTCAATGAGTAAAAATGGTAATGCCATCTGCACTTGAAATGTGTTGCGAGCGAATTTTGTATAGCCAGCAGACTCCATTAGAAACGAGTTGAGATTTCTTGCTTACGAGTCCTAATATGTACAAAACTTAGAGTGAAAAATTATGTTCTATCTCTGCTATTTACCTTTTGATATAATGTAATGCCTATTACGGCATTTGCCAAAGGAATAGGTGTTTTCAGGAAGAAAATGGCCGCTTGATGTTTCTGTGACACAGACTTTTCTGTTTTTCCTTTGTTGTTTATTTCTAGATTTAAAAGTTTTGACATTAGATGAACGGTAAATTGTTATATACTCTTAACCCTTCCACAAATAACATTTTTTCCATGGCTGTTGTATTCAATCTTTGAATGTTATAATGATCATTATTTCTTAAATAATACTCCTACATGTCTGATCTTTTAACAAGACAATTACTTAGGACCGATTCCACCATTGTGTTAAACGAAGTTTAAAATGATATTTTTACATTAACATTGTCATTTTAATCTCCTTTTAACACAACGGTGGAATCGGCCCTTAGGTAAGGTGGAGCTTGATTGCTAATAACTTTAAAAATTAATACCAATGTAGACTTTATGACAAGTTGTTGAACATTTAAAAAATTCAAAGTCTCTTAACATATAAGGGATCGAGGTATATCTCCCTCAGCGAAGTATAATTCACATTGCTTTATTTTTGATTCATAATAATCTTTATTTCAAAAATAATGTTGACAATGTATAAACATAAATAACATTATAGTGAAATGACATAAAAAAATTACTACATAATGATGACTTAATTAAGGTTATAATTTAGGTATTTTGATTTTGACATGCTCTAAGGTTCCATGCTAATTAATAATTCTCGTATGCGTTTTTTAAAACATTTAATAATGTTAATAGTTTTCATGCTCTGTGGTAATGCATTATACAATTTTAAGCACATGTAGTGAAAGTTTCTCTGTTAATGTGAGTCTGTGATTATTATTATTACTACTTGTAATTCTTGTAGACAATTACTTGAGCAATAAATAACAGTGTTATACAGTAGTTGAAATGAGGAAAAATTATAGTATTATACAGGGTGAAATCCTAATTGATACTTTTTTAACTGTGTGTATACTTAGTCATTAAAATAAACATCTTTTTCCAATAACTTTTGAAAAAACTTAAAAATAAGAAAGATAAAGAAATAAATCTAAAATTGGGCCTGAACTTGTGTATCTATTTTTTACAAATATGAATCACAAATATTGTAATGCAGTGGCCTTATTTCACTTTGTAGATCAGTAGTTTAGAAGATCACATTTTAAGTAATAATGTTGTGAGGCACTTGTTCTTAGATAAGTGCGTGGGTGATTGTATATCAAGTGGGATAAGTCAAAGAAAAGTGTAGACAACTGGGGGAAAATCAATTGAACTTGAACTCGAACGTTTCCTTCCCAGAGTTAATTTTTGTGAATGGTTATTACGATGCATGAATTGAGTCTAGAGGAAAAGAAAAAAGTCTCATATTATGGTTGTTTACCTAAAAAAGTCCATTAATAAGCAGAAAATAATGTTTCAGAAGGTGGCCAGAATGGCGTTCGTGTGATCCAATGATATAAATGCTCATCCATATATAAATCAGACGCAAAAAGCCAGTTTCTATGAACGAGATAAGTATTTTATTAGAGAATTGAAAATATATTAATCATAAAATATAAATTCTACCATTTATTGGACTAATTATGAAAATAAATTGTAAAAATTGCAATTTGACAATATGATCTCCAGTATGATGAAGTTCAGAAGTTAGAAACTTTTTGCTCCAGCTTTACAATTAATAAACTTACTGTGATATTTCCTTTGAATGATAAGCTCCCTTTTAATAAAAAAAAGAATGTATCAATAAAAGATATGTGAAAAGGGACAATTTGGCTTTTACAAGATATTGGAAGACAATTAAAAACTAAAAACTTATTTTGAACGATCCATTAAGGTTGTGTGGAAGAGAGAGCTGCTCAATCACTTCCCTATCAGGATAATGTTTGAGTGCGAACGCCGCCTCTTGCTTTCGGGCGGCAATACATATATTTTTTGTGTAATTACTTTTTTGTTAATTTGTATTTATGAGAGCAGTAAAGTCATTTATTATTGTATTATTATTAATAAACAAACAAAAACTTTAATAAACTATTTTTATTTTCATTCAAACATAATTCTTTACATGTTTAATTTCAAAAACTACAATAAAAATTCCCCATTTTTATATAATAATCTTTATATTAACAATAAAATTTGAATATTATTAAATTTTCAGGGTGTAATTTTTAGGTTATACCCACGTGCGCCATTCTGACCACTTGCTTAAACCTTATTTAATGCTTTTTAGTGGAAACTTTTTAACCGACTTCAAAAAAGGAGGAGGTTTTCAATTTGTTGGATTATTTTTTTTATGTATGTTCAGCGATAATTCTTTACCACGATGTCCGATTTCTACGATTCTTTTTTGTTAGAAAGGGGGTTCCTCAGGGGTGGTCCCATATAAATTTGGTCAAGATCTAATAATTGGGTCCATAAGAAAATCATCAAACTCTTCATATTTGATGTATTTTCAGTGATAATTCTTTACCGATTTCTATGATTCTTTTTTTAGAAAGGGGATACCTCGGGGGTAGTTCTGTAAACAATTGGCCAGCATCTAATGATCTATGAGAAATTAAAAAATCTTAATTTTTAAGGGCATCTGCACGATTTAGAAGTTGATTTTTTTAAATTACTTTTATTATTATTGAGATAACCCTGTGAGATTGCGCCCTTTTCTTTACACTCTGTATCTTATTTATATATCTATATAACTACATACACAACTTTCGGCGCTTTAAAACGGTATTTTGATACAGTAACGCCATCTTAATTTTATACATTTTGAATGAACATGAAAGTACAACATTTTTTAATGAAAATTATACAGTTATACAGGACCTTATTGGTTACATTTTGGAATTAATTATAGCAAGTTTTTATTTTTGAGTTTTTTTTGAAAATGTTTTTTATTTATTGACTTCTATACACTTTTAAAAAAAGTATCAACTTCATCATCATCATCATCATCTGAATTAGGGCGTGGTTCAAAGCCCACTTGTACTGAAGCTCTAGGCTTATTGTACCCCTCACAGTTTCTATCCCATCAGATTGATTTTCTTGATGAATTCAAGAATATGTCTGATGGGCGCTTTCGCGATTTCTTCAGGTTCCGGATATTGTACCCCGAAGTACCATTCCCGTTCCCATTTAAGGTTCCGGCAGTGGCATAGTATGTGAATAGGAGTTTCGTCCTCCTCTTCACATATTCTGCATAGGGAGTCATCAGATATCCCTAAGAGATTTAGGTGTCTTCTAAGGCCGCAGTGTCCAGTAAGGAGTCCTATTACGGCCTTGAGTTCGCTTCTGCTAAGGTTTAGCAGTTGTTGTTGTCTGCTCGTGGATGGCCCCTCTATGAATCTTTTGGACTGTCTAAGTCCAGGAAGTTCCATCCAGAGCCTATGGTGTTCTCTTTTTATTTGTTCCTTTAACACCCATTTAACATGTTGGTATGAGATACCACATGTGGGTTCTGGTCCAATAAGAGTTTTTTCCGCTCCCTTCCTTGCTAGGAGGTCTGCTTTCTCGTTTCCAAATACTCCCTCATGTCCTGGCACCCATTCAAGGGTAACCTTGTTATGTTCTGCCAGAGTCTGGAGGGATTGTTGGCAATCAAATATTGATTTAGATTGTACTTCTACCCTTTTTAGTGCTTTAAGGGCTGCCTGACTGTCTGTCATGATAACGATTCTCTTATAAGTATCAACTTAGGATTCACCCTATATAAGTATTTTTAACCGACTTCAAAAAAGGAGGAGGTTATCAATTCGTCGCGATATTTTCACTATGTAGAAAAAAAAATTCATACCATTTTTTTTCTATCTTCCTAAACATAAAATCGGTGTATTTGAAAAAATTTAGTTGTGGATCCAATATTATGCTTAAATATTTTATTACTTTTATATAAACAATTACTGCATTGTCAATTTTAACAATAAGATTTTGTTGCTCGAATTTGGAACAATTAATTTTATTGCCGAAAACCATACATTACTTTTCTTTGTATTTAGCTTGGACTTATTAGCCATTAACAAAAATCGACCTGTCTGAGCTTTACCCCCGAAAATAACATAAGATAATGGAGCGTTTCCACACTTTATGAATGCCACTGTATATCTTCATAAAACTTTTGATATAGTGTGATATTTTTTATTTCTCTACTTAAGTATATTTGTGTTTTTATGCTATGTTAGGTAAGGGTATTAATGTACCGCGACCTAAAAGATATGTTGTGTCTCCTTCTGTAGCTAATTCAGAAAAGAAATAGTCTCGATGCCAATAACGATCTTTCCAATTCTATCTTTTCAAGGAAGTGTAGGATCTGTAGTAGCTTCAAGTTAGGTAGATCATGCTTTTCTATCTGGTATGCTCCTTGAATTCTGGAGTGTTACACATTAAGTCAGAACGTGAATGAAAATTTGGTCCTCCTCTTCACAGAATCTGCACTCATTATCTTCTACTGCTCTCAGTTTACTAAGGTGTCCTTTCAGTCGGTTTTTGTATATTTATTTTGTTACTTTTTGATAGGCCTTATTTTTAGGATAATTTTATTGCAGATGTGTTTTATTTTAAAAGGCCTTATGGGAATTATTCTTATTCTTTATATTGATTTCATATATTTAAACAATTTGATGTATGCGATTTAGTGAAATAAATTTTCAACCAAGACTTGATGATTTACAGAATAAATTGGATATTGGTCAACAATTAATTATCTAATTACAATGTGGCAGGTGAAGTGCCCCACGGTTCAGTACTACAACCTTTATTTAATGTTTATGTCCCTGACTTGATCTTGTTCTATTTTGTATTTTTTTATAGAATTCAAAAATTAGACAAGCCAAAGATAGAATAAGATCCATTAGATCCGCAATTGAGGAAAAAAAAATAAAAAGAGCCCTAAATAATGAAAAACTAGCATCTTTAAAGGACAAAAATGAAAAACGCACTGAAAGTTTACCAAAATATGAAAATAAAGTAAGAGAACATGAAAGTTATGTAGGGTTAAGGCATGAAAAAGTTGTAAAAGCAAGAGGGAATGTAAAAAAGAAACAAGATGAGTTAAGACAACTTGTAAGGATGAGAATTCAACAGCTTTTTAAATACATTTTTCCCATTTGCATTGTGAAACCAACTATGTAAGTAACTACTCAGTAAATTATGTTATATAAATTATTTTTAATTAAAACTGGAAAAAAATAATTGATATATAGCTGTTAAATTTGTTTTAGTTAAAAAGTATTTCTGAAACTTAATTATTAAACTTTTAATACTAATGAAAATATTTTTAGGGAAACTGAACTTTCTAGTGATGATATGGTAAATGCTTTGGCTGAAGCATCTCAAACAACTTTCATTAGTGATCGTTGGGAATACTCTGATTATTTAGGGGAGATGAAATATTGTATTGCAGGGCCAACTTTACCAGGATCCGGAAATTACTCTGCTTACAATATATGGGGTCAGAATTTCTAATTTTTCTTTCTCTAGATAATAATGATTATAAATATGTGAAATTGAACAAGGTTTTGTTTCTTGCAATTTTTTAAAGTACATTGCATTTTCTTTTGTAGTTGCACAAAACCAAGATGCAGTTCCTGGTTCAAATATTGCCAGCTCTGTAGAGTCAAATCCAGCTTTTAGCATAAGTGCTGCTCTAACTTATACAGCACAGTTAATCAGTGTTTTATCATATTATTTAAATATCAGGCTTCCTTACAAGATGCAATATAGGTAAGCCACTAATTTTATAAGAATACATATACAACATTTCTCACATAAAGATGCGGAGGATCTCGTAAATAAATGGTTTATTATTTTTCTTTAGTACTTGTGAACTTCCATTAGAGAAAGTACAGAGGTGTCAGACGACAACAGTCACAGAAACCCAATCAACTCAGTGGCACGCCACATCTTTTTATTTATCTTTTGAAGTTTCAGGTTGCGTTTAGAGGAGTTTATGTGTAGATTATTTGTGATTTTTCAGTATTTAAAATAATTATATAATAGTCTGTAAAATATTAAAATTTATCCACAGGAAACTTACATCATTTGTGAATTACCTAGCTGGTGAATGCTCAATTTTTAACAATTTTGATATAAGACATGTCATTTGAAAAATTAAAATGTTTATTTGGTGTTGGTTTCCAAACCAATTAATGCTCTAAATAGTTATGATAGTTTATTGAAACCAATTCATCAAGAATAATCCAAAAAGTTTAATATGGATGGTGTATAATAATAAAGTAAATGAAACATATATTTTAAGATTTCAAGCTTTTTGAAAAACATCTAATATTAAATTAAATAAATTTTATTGTCCAAACTACAAATTTACATTTTTTTAAGGTCGTCATCAAACGAGTATACTAATTTAACACAAAATCAAAGTAGCAAATATGTCATAGAGAATTAAAAAAATATCTAACAGCCATGACATATCATAAAATGCATTTTCTATTAAAACTTTTCATATTTCAGTTGTCTTGTTTGCAAACCTCTTAGGTTACTTGGTAGCTTATTGAATAGTTTATTGCCAAATTATTTGGTGGTTGTTGAGTTTGTAATACTCTATGATACCGTATACAATAAAGTTCTATCTGCCTAGTGTTATAGTTTAGAATTTTCCTTAATAACATAAAACATAATACAGTTTAAGATAAATATAGATGGCAAAGTAAGAATAGTTAATGTCGGTTTACAATGTTCAATTCGATGTGCTTTAGCCAACACGCAATTTTTTTTTTGAATCTTAAAAATTCCATCAGCCTCTGATGAACTATATCACGTTAAAATCCCGTAATCTATTAGGCCATTCATTTTATTTGAAAAATAACCTTGTTTAATTTGTTTGCTAAATAGTCTATATATTTTTCCATTTTAATTAAGAAACAATCAATATTCCCAAGAACTTAGCAGTTGTATATTCTGCTTTAGAAGAAAAGTAATGGTTTGCGTTGTGTCTTGATTTAATTCAATCTATGTTTAAACAGTCCGTTACTTGATTGAAGGTAGTATAAGTTTGATGTTGGGTAGTCTGTTTGATTTTTTTGGAGTTAACTAGTTAGATATTATTTACTTAAATACAGGTTGATATGTTCAACTGTTGGTATTTATTGGCAGACTGCAGATTGCCGTAAGCGCAGTAATTCGCCGATAACGGTTGGTTGAACGATTGGTTATTCGAATATGCATTTTTAGCATATTTTCAGAATGAATGATAGAATATAATTCATCATATTTTATTATTTGTGTGGGTCGTTTTCGTGTATCAATAATAATATTGCCAGTTTTAATCAATCGATGTCAGTAATTTATTTCATTTTAAAACGCGCGCTAAAGCATCGTTCAATCTTATGGTTCAATCGTGTATTCCCCACTTTTCCGTTGCATGTGAAGCACAAAGCTCATACTCGTTTAATACAAAGTTATATTTTTATTCGTTCGATCACCATTCACTTATTTCATTCCCACAACCCACAATACATGCAACTCGCAAAGCAATATTTTTTTTTTCGTTCGTTCGTTCGTTCACTATTTCATTCATTATTCCCGCAACTCACAATACGATCGACATATTTCGTTCGTTTGTGTATCCGTGCTGTGAGAAGGAGTGTAGAGTGATTCGATCATTCCGACTGGCAGGATCCGATCGTTCAATACTCCTAGGTGATTCGATCTTAGTGACCGAATCATTCACGATTGACACATCTCTACCATAGACTGACTATCCGAACTACCAAGAATCATTCTCTGTGTAGGTTTTTTTAAAAATGTATTAGGATATTCGGAAGTATTAAAACACAACTATATTTATTAAATATTTTACAAACTAACTTTGTGTTGTCCTTCAAATCATCTTTGAAGAAGTGACACCTCGTATCTAGTTAGGGGTTATTTAGTTTAGCACGTACGAGTTATCCCTTCTTCAATGACGAAATATGAAATTATTACGCCACTGACATCAATTTTTTCAGTATAAAGCTGACTATGACGGCACTGTCGTACAAACCTCTGTAACATACTCTACTCGTTCAAGTTTATTAAGACTTTTTGAGAATCCACCATCAAGTCGATGTTTTAAATGCCGACCTGGAACTTTTATTCTATTTTGCTGTGCTATGTTTCATCTTGAATATAACCATGCAATCCATAATGCATCTTACTAATGTTTCGAGTAAATTACAATATCAACAGGATGCAAAATATTAATTTTTGGCGTGAATTCAAAATTTGTTAAAAGTTGACTGTAAATTAAACATATTTTCTTACTTTTGTGAAATAATTGTTTTTATAAATCAGCAGCTCCATCAATATTATATAAATAAGAAAATGATAAATGGTCCAACACTAAACCTGAAAAATAAATTTTAAGCTAAATAAAAATAAGCATAGTTATACAAATAACTGCACTGAATATGTGTGACCTGTTGATAATATATTCATCTCTTTGATAGCCATTTTATTTAATTGAATATTTTTTTAGCGATTTTTGTAATAGTTATATGAACGAACAACAGTTTGCAAGAAGAACTGCTCGATTGAATGCTAATATACTATATTTATGCTTTGTTCAAAACGTGGATTTAAGTACACTAAATGCAGCCAAAACTATTCATAACATTTTACAAATGATAGAGGATCCAAATGCTGATTTAGGAAGGTAATATTTTTGGTTTATGTATGAAAACGTAATATTTATAAATTGGAAATTTAGTGACTAGGGTTTTTTATTAATTGCGCCTTATAAATTAAACGTTGAATAGTAATATGCTTTTTGGAATAATTGAATTGACATGTTACCAATGTAGAAGAAAGTAAAAAGATGTATGTTAATAAAGGTATAAACACATGAAAAGAAACAAAACACCATAGGTGCTATTTTTTGTCCAGTCAGTAGATAAATAAATTTTATTTATCAAAAATACATGGCTATTGCCTACAATAAAAGATACTTACAACAAAATGTGGAATGTAAACTAAAGAAAACATAGTTTAGGCATGAAAATAAATGTTTCTAGGCCCACATGAATATTAGCTTATCTACACACAGATTACAAAACGAAAAAGTATGCTATTGTCTTCAACTGAACGAATATATTTCATATCTATTCTAGGTCGTCTTGCTCAAATTTCGTTTTCGTGCGATATGGCCATCATATCCACTCTTGTTGCACAAACTACTATTTCTTAATCTTTTTTTGAAAACTTTAATGTTAGGTGCTGTTTTTTACAATAAGAGGTAGATTATTATAATTAAGATGTAGGGTGGCCAAACGAAAACGAAACATCTATTGTCAGAAACGTCCATATTTTAGACAAATATTTTTGGACCCGTCAATTTTTTATTAAAGAGGGACATGAATGTTGTTAAAAGACATACTAAAATAGAAAAAAACATAAATTTGGTGAATATAAAAACAAAGTTAATCTATTTTGAAATCTTAAAAGTAAAAAGAAAAATGTAGATGCATACTGTCAGACAAAAGACATCCAATAATATCGGTTGTCATCATTTTTCCAATAAGGAAATATTGGAGAATATCACCTTGCTAAATTACCATTTTTAATAAGTTGTTTAAATTTTTTGTTAATTTGTTTAACATTTTAAGTTTTTTAACATTTTTATCTAGACATTTTCTAGTTGAGGCGAGGTGGTGATTACAAATTATGTTATGTATTATAAAGTGTGACACTCCATTTGTAAACTAATTTTATTAATAATTTAATGCATACCAAAACATAATTGAATTTATCATGAACTTATATAATTGAAAAGTTGTTACGTTAAGAAATACAGACTTTAATCACAATCAACCTAAATAACAAATTTAAAATATGCAACAGTTTCTTTATCCCGCTGGACACCAAAATCAAAAGTGAAGCAATCATATTGCTGAGTTTTGTATAAAATTAGCTTTTCAATAAATATATGTCATACTTGGTACTCTTCCTATTTAAATTGTATTGGTTAGGGCACTGAAGGGAAATGAATGACGTATGACACAAAGGGAGCAAAAATGTAAAACGTGTCACGATTTTGCACGATTAGCATGGTCCTTGTACAAGGATGATGCGCAAAATCGTGAAGCGTTCTACATTTTTGATCCCGTTGTTTTTGCTTTTAAATTTTCCTGTTATGGATGACCTGCTAGAAGACGCCACAATGGGATTAAAATTTAACCATCTAAAATGTAGAGCAAATGAGCGAGACCAGCACTGCCGCCACGCTTGCGACGGACTAATAGTTTTGTATCGCGCTAAAATCAAAGGTAATGCAATAGACAGAGGAAAGGAGAATGACGTATGTCAGTTGTGAACCCATCACAAATTGAAATGTCCGAGTTTTTGTCTATAATATTGATGCAATTCCTGAAAATTCACTTTTTAAAAAAGGACAGAGGCCTCCAAGTGTACGAATTTTAATGGTAAATGTCTTAGTGAACCGAAAGAAACAGCAGGAGAGTTTGCAGACTTTTCTCTATTCTTGAAGAAATACTATAATTCTCTTGCCGATCAATTGTGCTGTATCTTTCAAAAATCACTGGATCCGGTATTTTTCTTTGGATGTAGAAGGAATCATTTTTTTTCCTGTGTTCAAATCAGACGACAAAACGGAAACTTACGAACTATTCCTAGCATTTGCGAAACCTCGGCGTTTCTAGCCCCTAAGGACTAGAATGAGTCTGTAACTAGTTGCCAAAGCCGCTCGACTATGCTATTAAGGGATTATTTTGTTTTTTATTATTTTTATTTGCCATTGGTGAATGGACTGCCTTAATTTTTTAACAGACTTCAAAAAAGGAGGAGGTTCTCAATTCGTCGCAATATTTTTTTTTGTATGTTCAGCGATACGGTGTCCGATTTCAATGATTCTTTTTTTGTTAGAAAGGGGGTACTTCAGGGGTTGTCCCATATTAATTTGGTCCAAATCTAATTGTTGGGTTCATGAGAAAATCTTTAAACTCTTAATTTTTTATGTATGTTTAGCGATAATGCTTTACCACCTTGTCCGATTTATATGAGTTTTTTTTGTTAGTAAGGTGGTACCTCAGGGGTGGTCTCATATAAATTTGGTTAAGATGTGGTGATGGCATCTGCACGTTTTTGAAGTCGGTTTTTTTAAATTTTTAATTTCTAATACTTGTTAATATTATATTGACATCAGTAGTTAAAGACCTATCAGCAGTTACAAATGCGTCTTTAGAGGCTACCTGGTTGTTACAGTTTTATATCAATGAATAACAAATAAATGAGATATTTCCTTGTTATCAGGCAGTCCTAAACTTTTGTAGTTAATTCTGCTGATGTAGTCTTTAACACGTACAAGCATTATATTGTTAAAAAAGCAATTCGGATTCTTTAGAAAGTGTAGCACTTGCACAATTTTTTCTATATATCAATATTTTCTAATTAATTCGCTAATGTCTGTCACACTGTCCTACTCAGAAAACTTAGTGGCATTGGTATAAGTTGTTGTTTCTATAAACTGTTGAAGTCATACCTGCTATACCATACTCAGTTTGTTAATGTACGTGGTAGTGTTTCAGGATAAATCAAAGTCAAATCTGGTGTACACCAAGTATCACATATTGGTCCCATAATATTCTTTTTATTTTTTAATGATGTAGTTAATGTCTTTAATAATTCATGCATAAGCGGACGATCTCAAATTCTTGTCAGTTACAAACTCAAGTAATTCTGGTAAAATACAGCTTGACGTTAATTCTAGTCCAGTGATGTAATAAAAATTTAATGAAGCTCAATGTTAACGAAAGTAAAGGTGACTTTTTAGAAGTGCTCCAATCCCATAAGAAATGTATATCATGTCAAAAGCGTACTTCTAGAATTAGTTTCTTTTTCAACGATTATTTTCATATGACCTCACATTTAATGGTCATATTGACAAGATTTCTTTTGCTTCATACTTCTAGGTTTTCTAAAAAGACTAATGTCACTAAAGATATATTAACTCTTTTTAATGCCATGATTAGAATCATTATGGAATACTGTAGCACAATATGAGATCCTAGTTATGCAGTACACACAGGCTAGAAGAGGTACAGAATAAGTTTTCCAAATAATATCTGTTATACAAATTAAGATTTCCGCTGGCCAACGTTCCATTTGAAACCCGAAACAAAAAAAGGTCGTCAGCTTAAATGCAAGTTTGTTACTGAAAAATGTGTAATTTGACGTAGGCGGGCCAAACTGGTCAACGGCCAGCGGGCCGCCAAAACGACAGTGGTCGTATGTTGTGCACCCTTGGCTTAGAACATGGCGAAAAATAGCCATGCTGCTTTTTTTGTATAAAATTATACATTCTTTGATACCTAAGTTCTATTAGAAAATATGCTTCATGTGCCAATTCGCTTAACCAGAAATCAACAGCTATTTCACAGTTATGGAAAAGCTCGTTCGCAATTATAATAACAATTTCCATTATGCAGATATTATTCAACTCAGTCTAACAGGACTCAAACGGGGAGTATCAATATTACAAATAGGTTTTGTTTATAAGTACATATATTGTTAGTTTAAGCGCTGCCTTAGAGACAACTGTATGTGTTCTATTATTTTTGTAAATTATTTATGCAAGCTATTTGAAATTATTTTTTTGTAGAGCTTTAATTAAATTAATGGCTCTATTTCGTTTTCGTGTGGTCACCATGTATATTATTTGATTGTGTAAATTATAAAATACTGAGCAATACGCTATATTATTAAAGTAACGTAATTTGGTTCCACTGACCAATAACTTTTAATAAAAACAAACCATTTTGTAACTGAATTTGACGATCGAATTATTTTATATTTTTTGTTTATCGTAAAAAAAGTAGTTTAAAGCTATGTTACCAAATTATTTTGAATGTTTAACTGCATTTATCTAGGAAATACTAGAAATAAAAGGTTAATGAATTCCTACTGTCACTGTTGTCGGTGGAATACAAATTACGTCATCACTAATATAGCCTATAGATATGACTTCTATGAACCAACACTGACTGGTTCTGTTTTATCAAAGTATCTAAAATTACGGTTTGACGAACTCAACTCCTGTGTCCCGCAAGGATCAGTATTGGTACCTCCTCTATTTAATCCTATGCAATTAGGTGTAAATTTTAACGCAATTTTTCTAGAGATGATGCCGTTGAATATGACATTCATCAAGCTGTTGCTCTAGAGCAAGATATATCAAATGATCTCAAAACTAGTGATGACTCAGATTCAGAAGAAGGCGATTCATTTCCAGTGGAATGGGAAGCAGTAAGTTATATTTCATTGGTTTGAGTTCTTTGATAAACACATAAAAATGTAATTTGCATCGTGTTATTTTGCATATTTATTGTTTATAGGTACCTCATGTGCAATGTCCTGAAATAGCGGCGGGTCCCGCTATCAGCCAGTCTCCGCAAATGATGACGACTCAACAAGCCAGCAGTATGGCAGGAGGTTTAGTAAACAGTGCAGCTGCTAGTATAGCCTCTATTTGGCGGGGGTTCACCTTTGGTAGGTAGTTTCTGCTGTAAGATTCTAAATATTGAAAACTATATTGGCAATGAAGTTACAAGCTCCAAACTTCAAATAGTCATTTTATTGTTTTAATGTCAATACAGATTGAATCAAAAATACACACAGAATAACTTTGGCTGCTTCCTGTATGTTCCAGATTTATTGGCTATTTATGAAGATACAGTTTGAAAATATTAATAAGATTTTAAATAGTTAAATTTAATCTGTTTGCCAATTTATATTAACATTAGAATTCCAGCAGTGCTGTCCCCATTGCCTTTGTCCATCTTTTTCAATAAACTCCCATCTATACTATTAATAGAAACGTATTTCATTGGAACTGATTAACTTAATTAAATATATTTAACAAACATTTGAGGTTTTTATGGGTTTTTTATCCTTTGCTATTTTTGTTTCTTCTGGTAAAAAAAAAAACGTTTTAAGATATCTGTGATATATTGTCTTATTAATAATAAAAACAAGTAGCTTGGAATAAAACTGAACCTCATTAAAAATATGGACTAAGGACCAAACAAAGCCAAGTCAGGAGATTGTAGTTTCATAATTCATTCTCTTATGTAGATGTGGTTTTTTTCTTTTAATGTATGTAGCTCTAGAGCTATAGTAATATATTTTTTATCTTGTTTTTGTGATTTTGATATTTTGTGTTTAGTTACAGAGAATAAGGAAAGAACATAAACTCTAATCAAAATTATCGAACCAAGTTGATTTTATTAATAAAAAATCATGAATTCTTGAATAAAATAAAACCAAAAATAACATTCGTAGAAACATAATTACAGGGTGTGTGATAATTTTGAACAGGGGGTTATGTGTTATTTCGAAAAGTTTATATATAATAGATAAATAATGTGATGTTATTTGGAAGAAATTGAAAAAAATGTTATCAATAGGTGACTAATTTTTTTGGAAAATCATTTTTAGTTACTTTCATTGTTAAGAATGTATAAACAAGGTGAAACTTTTACATAAAACAGTGAAACACAATATGTTAATGAATAAACCAATGTTGAAAATAAGTGAAATCACAATCTATAAAAATAACTTACCTTTAAGTAGGCAGACCCTATTTTCATGAGACATGAAATGGAATATGGTTAAAAAAGTGTTTGTTTCACATTGAATTGACAATCATTATACTCGAATAATATTTAATATAAAATTTCCCACTCGACCATTCACTATTGGGTTCTAATTAACAGTGCTGTTCCTAAAGTGGCGCTGGGAAACAGTAACAAAGCCACACAGAACACGAGGCTAATGGCCTTAGTAGTCGATGCCTACGACACCAAATTAAAAAAAAAAACTTCTCACACTCTTGCGACACAATTTTGTCATAAGTCAATTGATATATTAAAATATGTGCAAAAAGTTTTTACTCCACCAAAAATATATTTTATATACAAGTATCAATTTGATTTTGTTAAATACGGACATGTTTTTTGTTTCGGATTTTTTTTAAGTATTTTCATTTTAAACTTAAAGATTATGTCTGGGCTTTTTTGTTATTGATTGCAAATGTTTATTTAAAATTAATTTGTTTTAAATAAATTGTAGAAAAATCACTGTCTGAAATGTGAATACAGTTAGAACATTTCTAGGTGAATTTTAAAGATTATGGGTTATTAATCAACATTTTTGATAAAATGCCGGGTTAGGGGCACTAGAGAAATATGATGAAACAGCGTATGGTCTACCTACTCATAAGTCAAATGTATTTGAATGGACTTGGTTTTGCTACTTATTTTTGTGTACTGTCATATTCACTGCTGACAGCAAGTAAACAAAAAACCAACAAAAAACAAACAAAAAAAAATGTATGGATAATTTCAAATTTAAAAATAATAGGAATATTTTATCATAATTCAATCATGAGGTACGTGAAGAAAAATTATTGCACTCGATATTTTCTTTATCTGGATTGAATTACTGTCTCGAGGATAATAAAGTACGTCCCAAAGAAATACATAAAATTCATTGTGAGTTGGGTTTGTAAAAAATCATTAAACACATAATTTCCAACTGTACTTATTAATAAATTTGTATTTACCTTTTTTTCATAGACCTTTGACAGCTTCGATATTTTGAGATTACTTATTTGCAGCTATTGAAAACTGTATCAGATGCATTGTGTTAATAACCAGTCTCTTGATATGTTTTCGTCTTCGAGCATATATATTTCATAGAATCCGCATTCAATAGGGTTTGTTTACGTTATGAGGGGAAATTCCTAGACACTATTACCGGTGTGGCATCATTTTTACGGGGTTTGCAATTAATATAAATAATAAATTTGATACATACCTTCAAAATTCTTTAATTTACGCACATATTTTATAAACTTGCATTATTTAAGTAGTAATAATAGTAAATAATAATAATAATAATAATTATTATTATTATTATTATTATTATTATTTGTGTTGGAAACATCAGATTTTTTTTTTAATTCAAACAGAAAGTGTATAACGGAAAAATGAAGGTTAAAATAATAGGCAATAAAAAAGATAAAAAGCTCATATAAAAAATAAAAAATTTAAATAAATAGTAGGTATATTATACAAATATTTATGATATCTCTTAACACACCTGTACGAGAATTACAATACAAGAACTTTTTCCAATAATTTATTAAATATAAAAATATTGTTCGAAACCAATGTTCAATAGATTATTAAACCATATACTACAAATAGAAATCAAGCTAATACTTAGGTACATTCCCAATAAACACAGTTAATCGGCACCGTAACTGGGCCGAAGGTGGCTTGACGGATGCCGGACTCGATTAACCCACAAGAAAAGTGCAGGGTTCTTTACCTTTTAGATTCATCTTCTTCTGGGGCCTCAGTAAATGCTGATGGCAGGATGGCAGTGCACCTGGAATTAACTTACTTCTTCCTTTGCATCCATTCTTTGACATAAATATATATCCAGAAAAATGATTGGAACATAACACATCACTATTTGAAATGTTTTCTGGAGTAACATACCAAATGCGGGATGCATACCAAATGCAGGATTAGCTGGAAACCTACAAAAGACAAAAATTATTGATTTAACATCTTTACCATTATCATGATAAAATGACTTAAAAACAAAAAGCTTGTTTATATTGAAAAATTATCATTATTTTTTTTAACTTTTCAAAATAAAAAACAATATTCCTCATACATAATACAAATTCTTTAAAGTAAATTCACTAAATTTACCATTTATTTTAAATTCATGTTTTACTGCCTTCTGCAAAAAATGCAGGTACTATGTTTCTTTTGAAAAAATGGTAGAGTCGCTAATGGCTACTTACTTGTGAAATGCCTTGACGATGCCTTTTCTTATTTCTATTTACAATTTACACAAACTCTCACCATTGTTAAAATTTGTATCAGTAAAGTAATAAAATACAAAAAATCACTTATAAACTACAAAAATAAGCTAAAAATTAATGAAAATCAAATGACAGTTCTGACAATTTCAAACGATTTGATATGCCAAGCAAAACGAAACAGACCAATGAGAATGCTGGACACTATTTTTCCCCCCTGTACCAAAACAAAGTCCATTTGGACGATGGCTCTAGTAATATATGGTCGAAGGTTCTCGTCTATATGAAATTATCTCTGGTGGTACAACTGGGTCATTAGAAGCAGATTTTTTTTCAAAGGATGGATACTTATGAAAACGTAAACATATCATCTGTCTAAACACAGTCAAAAATAGGTTCCAGTTTTCTATGTCCAATAATTTTTGCCCAAATTTTATCTTCTATGGTTGTTGTTAGTGATGGGAGTACTCGAGCACAGGAATCGGATAATACCCGATTCTACCCGATTCCTAGGAATCGGTAGTATTCGAATACTGACGACTAGCGTCGGAATCGGAATCGATTCTGATTTTAAATATTAGACGATACACCTGCGAATCACGATCCGTCTTGTACCGCTGCTCACTGCTGACGTGCTGACTGAAACGGAATTAAAATATGGAGTCGAGTCTGGTTCGAGGTTCTAAACGCTGGAATCGCTGATAATTGGATCGGTGATCGTCGTTATACTCGGTTGATGCAAGTACTCAGTACTCGGTATTCAATAAAATACCCGATTCCGAGAAGTACTCGAACCCTTAGTACTCGATTCTCGAAAGTATCCGATTCTTCCCATCACTAGTTGTTATGTATACATTTCTTGGTATATGTATGCTCGATAATCGTTTATTTGGATTTCCTTTTGGAATATAGCCTCGTCTGAAAACATTTGTTTCTATCCTTTGGACCCCCTTATATTGCTTTATTCCATATCAAGCGTGATGGCACTGTATACCTCAAGGCTTATTGTGCCATACTGGAAAGTCCTACTACCATACCCATTTACTCCACATCTTAGATGCTTATATGCTAGTCCCATGGTGGCTTCTCCTATTCAGTCATCCATCCAAGACATGGCCGGAGAAGTCACCTATTAACTTTTTTACTGTTTGTTGATTTTTTACAAGGAAACAAGTTACGAATTTTATGAATTTCTTTTGAGCCATACTATATTATGTCTACTAGACTTTTTAAGATTAGTTATTAGTCAAATTGTAAAGACACCTTCTACTTCAGGGAGTAAAGTTGTATCTATAATAATTAAATTACCGTAATTTAAAAAAAATGTATTAATTTTCACTCAACTCAATCGATTTATAAAAAAATTGATCATATAGATGTAAGCTGACAGAACTGATTGTGTAGTTTAGTATACAATGTAAAAAAAGTCGTTAAGCTTTTCTTTGGTTTCAGCAGCTGAATGAAAATTGACAATATAAGTAATATTTCAAATGTCTGTAAATAATTTTATCCATAGTTATTTTAGAATAATCTTGGAATATAGCACAATATTGATTTTTTGTATTCGCTTTGTATATATGCAAATTATATTTTTTAATACAAAAAGCAGTTTCATTTATTTTCCAGTTTTGTATCCATTTCAAAGTGCAAAATTATTGTCCTAATTATGCTATTTACTGTCAGTGTTTCAGAATAACTTTTTCTTTACATTATAACATTGACCTATTTTTAATGAGATTTAGACACTGATAGGAAACGCTCATAAGAAGCACATTCTTAACAATGACCAGCTCGAACGTAGTTAACATCTGAACCACTATGTGCCGCTTTTATTGATATAAAACAAATAACACGGCGGGAAATTTAAAAATCTGATAATAAAGGTTATAAATATGCACTTTCATGTTCTGGTAAATAAATTTAAACAATGTTAATCGCGGTAAATTATTTATTAAAAAGAATACTACACTTGCAGTCTATTATCGAAGAATTATTGTAAATCTATTCATGACAAATATTTTTTAATTTTTGATTGACATTTGTAACTTTAACATTGTTCTTATTTTCCAAATGAGTTGCAAATGGTGTCTCATTTTTAAAAATGTTGACGGCAAACTCCATAATGGGAATTGAGGTACTTTTCTTCCTATATCAAATCCCTCCAGCGTTTGGAAGCTATTTTGTTGCTCTAAAATAAAAATAAATACTTTGTGCCAAACGTTGGCTAGATCTTTGGTAAATTAAAGAACAAATTCGGGTTGTTTTTATTCGTGTGGCGTGTATGAAGACTAGAGATGAGGCGGTTCGGCATACTCAAAATATGGTCCCAAAAAACACAGGCTAATTGAGCTTTTATAATTAACCGCATGGGCGCTGATACTGCTTACGGTGTTCAAAATACATGGCTTATGGGAATTATATATAATGTTTTCACAATAATAAAAATAAACTTGTTTATAGCTAAATAAAGCACAGAACATGCTGTTGTATTTATTTCTAAATAAGTCTTGTATGTTTTAATTGATAAATTATTTAATTTTATCTATGTAAAATACAAATTAGGTAGGTATGACCAAATTCGAAAAGGTTTGTTAAATGCTGAAATTTGATAAGTACAATTTTGTGGCAATTTTTACTTTCCTATCTGTATACAGATATAAGGAAAGTATAGGAATCATGATTTTTTTCGACCTCGAGTTTTCGACGGATTTATACGTTCTGAGGTCCCCTGAATCCGTTTTGACTATTTTCGCAATGATGTCCGTGTGTGTCTGTATCCACCATAACTCATGAACCGATACACTGAAAAACGCCAAATTTTAAATTTAAGCTTTATTCCAGAGTCCAATGAACTGATTAGATTTTGGGCAGAGTCGGAATATCTGGGGGGGGGGGGGTACTTTATGGGTGGTCATTTTTATATTTTATGGAATATATCTTTATTTACGTTTGGAGAAGAAAATTGTTCAAATAAAAGTTACTTCTAATATTATCTATAATTTTTGTTCTATACAAAATTTTCCTAAAATGGTCCGTATTCGAGAAATTTGACAAAATGTAAAAAAAATAATTTTTTATAAAAATTGTTTAAATAAAAGTTGTTTGTAATACAATTCTCTATAATTTTTATCCTTTACATAATTTCTCTAAAATGGACCGTATTCGACATATTTGAGAAAATGTGTAAATTTCGAATTTTGTAGAAAACTCAAAAACGGATAAAGAAAAAACATTAAATTTTAAACTTTAGTTTTATTTCGGCCTGACGTGAAATGATTAGATTTTGGACAAAGTCGGAACATCTGGGGGGGTACTTTATGGAAGGTCGTTTTTATATTTTATGGAATATATGTTGTTTCGAGAAGAAAATTGTTCAAATAAAAGTTACTTCTAATATCTATAATTTTTGCTTTGTCAAAATTTACTGAAATGGTCCGTATTCGAGAAATTTGACAAATGTGCGAAATTCTGATTTTTATGAAAATTATTGAACTAAAAGTTGTTTGCGATATCGATCTCTATAATTTTTGTTTATACATGATTTTTCTAAAATGGACCGTAATGGAAAAATTGTAGGAAAAGTGCTAAATTAAAATTTTTCAGTATTTTCTTTTTGAATGAATATCTATAGAACAATGTTTCGAGGTAGATGTATGTGGAAAATGTATATATTTAGTTTATCCTCTAAACATTTATAGAGGTGCTGCAATAGGTTGTACAAAATAACCTGAAAAGGCCTGTAATAACTAGATAGGAAAGTCATGTGTTGGACACATCAGATTTTTTATTGTTGTAATAAAAGTATAAAGGGAGATTTGGAAATGTACATGGTATTACCTCCTCCTTTAATTTCAGCTTTATAGAACAGCATCATCTCTAGAAAGTGCTTTATCGGCACTAGGAATGATATATATGCTGCCACTGTTCTAAATATTTAGTATCCTATAAAAAACATTTACAATGACACAATTAGGGTTCAACAAAAAAATAACAGCAACTCTTTATCCAACATTAAAACTCCATAAAAAATTTATTTTATTTTCTAGCAAGTTAAATTTAATGTATAATTATTGTTGTTTGTAAGTCAGCATCTACGACTGTAAAATTTTATATTATAGAAACTTGTAATAAAATAACTACAATCTGTAAGATACATATTGTGACTAGTTTACAATAAATATTATATTTAAACATAAATACATTATTTTACTTACATTAGATAGCTTTAAAAAGACATTGAATTAATTTCTCCTTGTTTTCTTTAGTTTTACATTTAATGTTTTTTGTCACTCATGTTACTTGTTCTCAGGTACTTTTTTTCACATTATTTTGATTCTTTTCACCAATTTTTAAAAAAAATCACTTCATTTTACATTGACTCGCATAGAAAATTGACAGAGCTGTTATTCGACATGCCAACTACAGTCAATTTCGCGAATTTTATAAAAAAGACGGAAATTTGACCATTGCCGATTCCGCCTCCTTCTCTTTAGTCTTCATAGGCATGATACTATTGCAATGCATGCTCAGAGTCATTATTGTAATATTACAAAATAAATTCCATACAAAAACAACCAGAACCATTTTGCTTAGTTCACTTTATAATATGAACCATTCATAAACTCAAAATTTAAATTCAGGATTCATATAACTAATTGACATTAATTTTTATAAACTGTCATCTTCTTCTGTCTACAATCGACCTGTACCTTTAGTTAACAACTGAGACGCCATCATTGCGTTCCTCTTTGTCCCTAATCTCTGCACATGATATTGGGACGCGGCGAGAAATACACTATATATATTTTATGGAAAATAATAATTAGGGTTTTTGCGTCGACTAAATGACTTCAAATATACCAATATGCATAACTGGGCGAATTTTGTAAATTTGATTTTAGTCATTTTAATGCATGTCTGTCAAGTTTCGAAATTTTGATAGGTGCAAAATTTTCTTACTGAATACCACACATGCCAAAATTATTGTCTGGAAATTTTTGTTCTCCCGAATATTTTCCCTCATAAAAATTTTCAAAATATTCGCGAGTTCGAAAAAAAAAATTTTGGAAATAATTTAGTCACTAGTGGTATTATAAGTGAATATTCATAGATTGACCTACAGTTTTAGTTTCCTACCTACTCATTAATAGTTCCTGCGAGCTGTAATTTTCTACAAAGCAACAGTTCTTGTGTGCTTTTGAGGCCAGTGGTCTCTCCAAGAACTAATCATGGTCACTATTTATTAACTGTAGTATTCTTCCCGAAATTATTTTTAGCTTTGGGTTTGTGATACTATTAAGATAGTAATTGCATATCAATGTCCTGCTGTAAAATTTGTATTAAGAACTTTTATTTGGTTTTTTTTTTTATATAAAACACATTTTTTCGCCTTTATTATATACAATAAACTACTGAAATTAAGCAACAAAAGATGTTATTAAAACTATACCAAATGTTTATCTTAATTTAATATTTGTCTTTGCTTAACCCTGTATATTGTATAAAAGACAGATATTACATAGTATCACTCACAAAAAGACATGTAAAATTAATATCTTAAAGTAAATCTAAATTTAATATGTACATCTCCATGGGAGTAGGTATTTAATTTACAAAATTATTAATTGGCACTGTCTGTAGCCTCATCTAATGTAACTTCAGGCCAAGTTGGATCTCCCAGACCATGCAAAGGACACTCCACAGGGCATCTACCATTACTCTAAAAAAAATTATACAGAATATCAACATTTTATTTTGTACATGGAAAATTAAACACTATACTTACATGATGCATTCTATGCCTAGTATGGATTACATGACTTTTTTTTATTTTTTGTAACAAATTATATTGATCTTCTAGGCGTTTAACACACTGTTCGCATATCGTTTTTGGTAGGTTATCATATTTTTTGAGCTAAAAAATTGTTAAATTCAGATAAGATATTGTACTAGGATTATACATTTGATGTATATACATCAAAATACAATATTTATTAACGTAGAAACAAATATAATATACCTATTATAGTTTTACTTACTGTAACTGGTACAAGTTTGATCTTTTTCAATAGATCTAATCTTCTGGCTCTTTCTGTGTAGAGATGGATAACAACTTTTTTTTGTTCTGAACAGAGTCTGCATATAAAACCAGTAACAATGGCTTTTGCTGTACTTCCCATGGTAATGTGAAATTTTCAATAAAACTAAAATAAACTCTTGGTTGTCTTCTGAATTAAATTACTAATTTTTTTTATTGGTCTGACATATTTAGCAAATAAATAAAAATCGACAATTGACAGCTAACGGCCATACTATTCTCTCTTCTCTTAGTTCTTTTTATTCCGATTTATTTTGTTCTACTTTTAGGTAGTTATACAACCAGTTATTTTATTTCGTTAATTTTTATTAATAAAATACATATTGTAAAAACATTATGTTCTAATTATTAAAAATTCCTGGAAATTTGCTATTTTTAAAAGATTATTTCTTTTAAATTATAATTGGTTATTTTACTATTGCAAAATTCAGTAACAGTAGTAGTTCCCCTGCCCTATTAGCTTTCCCAAAGTTACATTGTAACTACTGTCAATGTGTCAATGCCGCAAGTGTCAGTTAAGTGCAAACGTAAACAGAATCTTGCATTCTTTCATAGTTTATATATTTTGTTTGAGAATGGATGTTTCTAAAAAATTAGAAGAGTACAGAAAACACAAACTAAAATACATTAAAGAAAAACCTGATGTAATAATAACAACCGATGATAAGGTAAATTCGATCTTCCTAAAAATTGTGAATTAATTTTAGACACATACAAACTTGAAACTTAGAGAAGGATTTTTTTTTGTAGGATATAATCGAGAAATTATTGCCTGAAACGAATTCAATTCGTTCAATGCAACCAGAATTTCTTGAAGACCCCATTGATGATTCTTTAAATTGTTTAACTTTAACTGACATGCTGTATTATGGGCTGTGTTTTATATTGTGGAGCATTCTTTATGGTATTTTTATAAAACTTCAGTTTGGCACTGTATTTTTTATAGTATCATGTTTAGTAGGAATTTATATTAATACAAGAACGACTCCAAAGCGAAGAGGAGAAGTTAGTGCCTATTCTGTATTTAATAAAGACTGTAAAAGTATAGATGGAACCCTTAAAGCTGAACAGTTTGAGAGAGAAATTCGTTATGGTCCCAGTGTTTTGCAATAATTTATCAAGTTCATCAAAACCTTTAAATGTGGGGCTGCTGTCATATTCTCAATCTTTTTGTCTCTATAAAGTAAACACTGTAATATATAAAGGTACCTGCCATTTAAAACTAAGTGCCTTATGGCAGTTGGCAAGCAATGAGGTTAAGTGTTTTGCAATAAGTAATTTAATAAAGAATGGTCAATACTTTTATCACAGGTAGTGCCTCAAAATATTAAAATTTTGTTAAGTGGCCTAGATAAGCTTCCATATTTTAAAAGCATCTTTAAATATTTTCCTACATGTAATTAAATGTATTAGAAGCATTATGCTATGATGATCAGATAGGCTCACTTGGGGTACAAATTTTAAATTGAGCCCTTCATGATGTCATCACATGACAAAAGTATTGGTGATATATGGGGTGGCTTTAGCTTTTAATACCTCATTTTAGTGATGATATAATTATGGTTCCACTGACAAAGTGACAGTATATTTTTTGAATGCGTTTTGTTTATCTAAATTAGGGTAAATGTGGGAGCAGTCAGACAGTTTAAGTAAAAACAAATTGATTTTTTGACTAGAATATTTAGTTTTAGAGTAATAATATTAAAACTTTCACCAGGCCCTAGATTGATTATTTGGCTTTATGACTATAATAATTAAATAATTTTTGTGAAATACCATAATAATTCTAATGAATTAAACTGTAAAAAATGCCCTTTTTGCTAGTAGTCGGACAGGGAAAGCCAGTAGTCAACCAGGTAGTTACCAGAAGTCGGACAGCTTGTGATTGGCTAGTTTTCAACAGATCTTCATTTACTAGAATTTGTATAATCTTCATGGTATTTGAGAGATTTATAATACCTATTATGCACATTTTAAATATTTAGGTGCTTATAGGTATAAGAAAAGATTAATAAAATGAAACTTAAAAAATAATAAAAATTTAAACTGGTAACCAAAAATAACATGCTAAATTTAAACTTGAATACTTTATTGCTTTCTAACAGAAATAGGTATAAACTCTTAAACAAACAAAAAAAAAACAATAATTGTTACCCTATAAATGGTATAAAAAACTTGGAAATACTATAAAAAATAAAACTTTTAAATAAATAAAAGCAACTAATTTGTCATGGGAACATCGCAAAAATCGCATATAAAATCTAAATCGGAGATCTCATTATATGAAAGCCCTGTAAACTTGGTACAACCTAAATGATACCAATGAAGACACAAGTCACAACCTACATTCTTCTCATTTTCTATTTCAGTGTCACTTTCTACTTCTTCTTCGCATATACCACATTTTGGTTTTAATCCACTAAATCCATTTTGGCTTTCTTCATCAGTATTTTCAAATTCATTTTCCTTTTTGACATTCTTTATATTTTGTTCCTCTGGCTTTGTGTGCCTGTCTGTTTCTTTGTTAGAAGATATTTTTGATTTTGTATTTTTATTATCCTTCTTGTTCATCCTACTTACTTTTCTCCTCTTTTTTAAATTTTCTTTCTTTTCCTTTTCTTTTTATTTTCATAATATTTTCTCCATGTTTCGGAAGATATTGCTGAAGGTGCCTTCTCTGTTTGCCGTTTTTTTCGCATTTTTAATTAGTGGTTGCGGATACGTTTTATTTGTTTTAAAACTTCTCTGGATTTTTCACGTGTTATTGGTATTATTTGTTTAACTAAACTATGCTTCATTCACTACTATGCTTTATTGTTTGAGCAACATTCTCATATTCCATTTTTTCTTCATGTATAGGTATGTCATTCTTTTTTGATTAATCATATTTGTTTTGCATGTGTAGTATATCTTTATCAAAAGACTGGTTAACTTCTTGTACTTCTTCATATGTTTTATCTTTTTCTGACCTTTCCAAAATCAGTTTAGTGGGATCTTCTATTTCTATCTCGATGTTTTCTTGCTCTTCCTTTTCTTCATTTAAAATATTTTCAATACTATATACCTTGTTCTCTTTTACCTCATCCTTATCTAATAAAGGATTTTCATTTATATGTTCTTGATCTGTATTCAGAACTATGTTTTCTAAGATTATTACTTGAGGCTCTTCTTTTGGTATTTCATCATGAAACACTACTTCCATATTGTCTATTTCCTCTTTGAAAAAAAATGAAATCTCATTTTCATCATTTTTTGGTGTAATCAGTGATTGTATTAGAGGTACAATCGAGTCTGTACATATGCCCCTTATCTATGATATCTGTTGATATCTTGAATCGTTAATATTTCACTCTGAACCTTGCCCTCTCTATTTGAAAATTTTTCGAGAACATTTTGTATACACTTCTTGCATTTAACAGCATTTGGATTAAATGGAAACAATCCGCTTGATTTGAAACTGTTTTTATATTCTTAGCCATTGTAGGATGCTTGAGAACATCCTGAAATAATAAACAAAACTCAGTTTTTGTGACCACCCTGTTTACATTTTTAGCTTGTCATTCTCTCACTTCTTTTCGCCAGTATTCCTTTAAGGGTTTAAAAACTGCAACATCAGCAGGCTGTAGTAGATGAGTTGCATTGGGAGGTAAGGCGTACAAAATTATTTCATTTTGATCACACAACTTACTTAGTTCTAAAGACATGTCCATCAACTATGAACAATACTGGTCTCCGAATTTCTTCTCGTTTTAACCTTTTGTCAAGGGAATTAGCTACGTATTCATAGAACACATTTGATTTCATCCACCCCGAATCTGTTTTACCCAAAACCCACTCATCAGGCATGATATCTACAATAGCTCTTGGGGGTTTAATATATGGAAATATGATTAATGGTGGACACAATCTGCCATCTGCTGTGAAAGTAATTAATACTGTTAGATTTTCTTTGGTATTGCCCAGTTTTACAACATTTAGATCAGTCCCTTTAAGACCTAATACTTCCCCAGACTTTGGGCATAAATTAAAGCCACTTTCATTGGCATTTAATATTTGACTTGGGTAATCCAAAATGTCAGTAGCATGCGAGTCCATTAAGAAAGATTATAATTCTTTAAACCAGGATCGAATGTACTCTTCCGTTACTTGAGATCGGTATTTTTGTAACGCTTCTGCATTTTTTAAAGATAATTGTGGATGTCTTCTCATAAACCCCCGTAACATTTTTCTCCAGGCCTGTCACTTTTAAAGGGCGTTTTTAAATGTTCGGTTTCTACAATTTCTTGAACTTCATCAAATAATTCATTTCTTTTAATTGGGAATCCACATTTGACAAGGTCTTCGATCCATTTAACTATTTTCGATTCATAATCAGTAGTCAAAACTGGTTCCGGTCCCTCGTTGCTAGAAAGATCGGAAACTCTTCCCTTAACCCGGTCCTGCATAGTCGACTTCGGTACCCCATACTATCGACAAATTTCACCGTTTTTTTCTCATCGTATTAACTTTTCCTTTCGCATTCATGTCTGAAACGAGATAAAACAAAAAAAAACTGAATGCTTGTCCAGAAATTTCGAAAAAAGATTAGTGTCCGACTTTCGGATCCTTAACAAATTTTACAACGTCCAGAAGTCGGACAGATTTTGATTGGTTATAATATGTATTACCATTCAATATCTGGTGTCCGAATACTAGCTAGAGTATAAAGCAAATTTTGTAGTTATTGGTTGTAAAAAAAGAGCTAAAAAGACCATATAACATGCCATAAAGAGAAAAACAATTTGATCTTCTAACGCCCAGTTGTCGGACACTTGACCAACTACTGAAATTTCATAAAAATTATTTGCTAGTTACCGGCCAATCAATTAAAACCACAATTTAAGAAAAACAGATTCAAATAATCGTAATGCTAATTTGGATTATATACAACATATGTGACATGAAAAGAAAGTCATAAATAACTTTGAAATAACCTTTTTCCATTCACATTTCACAAAAACTAACCACATGTGCACATCACAAAATTTGGGGGGCTTTTAACATTTCAGTAGTGACAACCAGCAAATCAAAATTTACCTAGAATTGTGTAGGAATGTTGGCGCTACTGATTACTTTTTATTTAGGGAAACGTTATTTATTTTTTCAAGATAGGCCGTTTTCTAATATTCAACAAAATCACGTGACCAATAAATAGCCGACTGCTGCAATCCTGATTTTTATCTGATGAAAATTATTTAAGAACGACTGACAATTCGTCGGCTTAATATTATGAAAATTGCATAAGTCCAAATTAATCTTTAGGGATTAATTTAAACTAAATGTAGTTCACAGGTCGGTCGAAACAAAATTATATTTAAGTCAGATATTATTACTTGAAACTTCGTTTAACACAACGGTGAAATCGGCCCTTATTTAAGGAAGTTTCATAAGTATTGCCAATTATTAAGGTCATATAGATCTCTAGAAGTTATACCCCTGCTTTGAGAGTGGGCAATCACAGATTTTCAAAACTTTGTGAATACCGGGTTCACTGTTAATACCAAAGGAACTGCTAAAAAATTTAGATTGAATAACCAAGTTTAAGTCTAACAAATAAGTAAGCTTTCTTGAGGTCAATTGACCCCATAAAACAATTTTTGATATTAATTTTATAGCCACTATTCTCCATCTTAAAATGGTTAACTATTAGGGATTTGTTTAAAATTTTAAGTTTAATAAGTAGTTATAGTTTTTTACCATATGATTCAGATAAAAATAAAATGATAGAAATAATTAATTTCTATAAATTTTGTATATCCTGATAGATTAATAGTAATTAATTTAATTTAGAATAAATTAAAGCATTTTCATATATATAAACCAAATTATTGGTAAAGCAGGTGTTTGTGTTTATGCTTAAATAGTAGTTTATAACCTTTTAATCATGTTTCACAGTGCATAACTGTGTATTGTTTAATACTTGACAGTGGAATATAGATATTCATATCTAAAACAGAAGGAAATTTGTATTTCATAAAAGTTGTACCTTTGTAATTATTTGAGAATCATTTTATTCTTTTTATGCCGATCACCTTATAAATAATATCCTATAATTGCTCTTGATGCTATAAAAAACTCATGTTTCAGCGCCGGGCATAATAAATAGGAAAGGATCCACATGAATTCACAGGCATTGTCATACATATGACTCGGTTATAAACCATTAACTAGCCTGTTTTACAGTACATACTCCATAAATGCGGGAGAAACCTGTGTAGGTTCCAAGGCATTAAATGATATACATGATTCAGTTACAAACCAGTAACTAGCCTATATCACAGTGTATATTGTGTATTTTTTAATGCTAATCGATGGAGTATGAATTCAGATCTAGACCAAACATAAAAATTTGCAATTTATAAGAAGCGTTTACCATTTGTGCCGCCATTTTGTTCAACATATGATATTCGGTGTCGTGTTTTTTCATCCAGCTTCTTTTTATAATTTTGTTTTCAATTTGTAAGGGCGTAGACTCCCCCGTTGTAAAAATGTTCTTCTTTGATTTACCCATTTATGTATTTTTTGATTATTAATAATAATAAGCAAACTATTTACGTGTAACCACAAGTGCACGAAAAAGAAAGAATGACGTAAGAGTGTATCTGACTAACACGAGACGTGAGCAGAGGTGGGAAGGACTGGAACAACCAGTTATTTTGGAACTATTTAAATACTTTTGAGGTTATTTGGACTTTAAAATACGTGGCCAGAGAGCGGGGAAAGGGGGGTACTACCTATGATCATTGAGAACAAGGCGTGGAATATATATTTTTTTCAATTTTACTTATCACAGTAACGATTTAAAAATCTCACTATCGCCTAACTTTACTATTCTCTGAATTGACGTTAATATTTCTATCCTTAAAGATTTATATGTAACTATTTAAAAATATGCTTTGTGAACACGAATGTCTGTGATATAAAATAAACGATGGCTTCAACTTATAGATTTTTATCGATGTAGGTGGGCGTATTATGTTTCAATAGAGCAATCGAAATTGAATTCCAGGACCTGCATTAATTATGAAATAAACATAATTTACAAATACAGTTATATCAAAATTTATAGAATCTGTATAGATATTTGAAAAAAGCAGAAAAATTGAGTTAAACTGCATATTTTTGTAGGTGCACATGTTTCCCTATAGTATGAGAGCCCACTGCAAATTTCGACCGTCATCTGATAACGAAATGAAATATGCTCCAAAGGTATGTAACAACATTGTACTTTACCAAATTGCACCTGTGCCAATCCCTATCCTGAGCAAAGTAGTTAAAAAAAATATTTTATATTCAAAAAATCACATAAGACATGACAACGACAATTGTGTTTTCCCTGAAAATTATAATCCTAATTCATAGTGAACCTAACCTGAATTATTAATATTTTTACCTACCTTTTAAACCATGTGTATGTGTGAAAGGAAGAAGGATGGCATTGTATAAATCATTTGCAGAGATAGTCAATAATAATTATAAACTCTTGTTAGAAAATTCTTTTAAACCTAAATCATAGTAGTTTTTTTGTCGTTTCTATGGCAACCTGTAAAAATGAATCACAACAATGGGCATACAAATAAATTTTTAAATCAGCAAAAATTGATTCATATTTTTATTGTTTTTTACCTACTAATCCTGGATAGATATTGGGTCCTATGATTGAACGTTTACGTTATCCGTAACGTACATGTTAGGCCGAATTTTAAAAGTAACGAGGTAAGCTCGTATGATGGAAACCTGTTAAATTAGAACATAACAGGCGGAAAATAACAGTAATGTGTTATGAAAGACTTTACATCATACGAATTAGTCTCTTTGCTGTTAAAACTCGGCCTAACATGTACGTTACGGATAACGTAAACGTTCAATCATAGGACCCATTGTTGTGCCATGTTAAGAGGAAGAAAATGTTTCCCTTTAACGATATACATCAAGGTATATTTGAATGTTATTTTCTGGAAATCTTTAAGGGCAAACAAAATTAGCGCTGTCATGCTTTATGTGATTTTTTTAATATAAAATAATTTTTTTAATCCACTTTGCTCAGGATTGGGATAGGCACAGGTGTCATTTGATAAAATACAATGTTTTTACATGCTTTTGGGGTATATTTCATTTCGTTATCAGATGACGGTAAACATTTGCAGTGGGCTCTTGGGCTACTAGTACCTACTTACAACAAAACTCCAAACAAATTTGCTTTTGAGGTTAAAACTTTGATACTTAATTAAAAAAAAAATGATGGTGTGTTTTGGCTAGGACATGATTTTGTTAATTGTTTTTAAAGCCAGATATAAATTTCAATTTTATATACTGTACTAACACCCGGTTGCAATGTCTCTAAATAGCTAATGATCCCATAACTTTATTAGTCAGCCAGTTGCAAGGACGTTCATTAAAATTTACGAACCTGGTGAACTTTCACAGATGAGTAATTTGAATTTCATGTCATTTCGACAGAAGGTATTTTCATGCTTTGCCAGAATTTATCAGGCTCATAAATTTTAATCAAGCTTAAATGTAAAAGGGTATTCATCGTAATCAAGGTTTTTGCAACAGACTATGTAATTTGAAGTTCATGTCATTCAGACAAATCACTGTCAAATTTTATCGGGTCCATAAATTTTATTTACTTGATTGAAATCGCTTAGATTTTCTGAATAAATTGTTCCTGAGATTCATCGTGGAGAATTAGCCCACGTCTCGTTTCTATAAAGTAAAAATTAAAAAGCTTTTTAGAAATACTTAACTGAAGACTGCACATTTTGTAAATTATTATGATAATATACAAATTTTAAAGTTATTTTCCAACAAATATATATTTGGACCATTTAGCACAATTTTAAGGCTAAAGAAAACAAAAACATATATTTTTATTTTTAATATGTTAACTCTACAGATTAATTACACTCAATTTTCAAAATTAAACAGTCTAATTAATAAACATTTAATCTTCCGCGCTTCATAGGTAACAGTTTCTTTTCCATTTGGAACATCATTAAATTCTGACAATGAAGAATATGCAACTGTTCGTACTGTTTTTCCATACACTAAAAAATATTACAATTTATTTTTTTCAAAATATGTTATTTATTTCTAAGTACAAAATGGTTTTTATAGTATATATATATAGTCTTATTTATAATCACATTCCTAAAACCCTAAAGATAGGTAACTACTACCTACAGATATAGCTGAAACCGTAAAGGTCATAATGCAAGAAATATAGCCCAAGTTGTGAATTTTGGGTGGCACAAAATTGATCGATAACATTTGATCGAATGCATTTGATCGAATAACAATTGATCGAAAATAGATATGATAGAAAAAGCAATTGATCGAAAAAACAAGTGATCGAATAAAGCAATTGATCGAAAAAGCAAATGTACATAAAATTAGAAAAAAAGAAAAAACTCAACTAATTTACCTAACCTGTGCGGCCTAGAGCCATCGTAGGTTGCTTCGCAAAAAAATATACAAGAAATGATAAAAAATAAAAAAAAACTAAATCACCTTTAATTAAATTTAAATGGCTCTAGGCCGCACAAGTTAGGTAGACTAGTTAAGTTTTTTATTTTTCTCATTTTTGTATATTTTTTGCGAAGTATTAATCCCTTCTGACAAATTTGGCAGGATGTCTCTAAGGAAATTTAAATAAACTTCAAAAACATGAGGGCCTATTAAATGATTTTTATAAATATCACACCATACATTTATAGACAAATCTATATTGGGAATCTTTTTGTGATACAGTGTGAGGATTTTCAGTTGCCCAAATATGACCATTCCTAGTGTTATTGATCCCATCACGTGTAAATTGGGATTCATCAGTAAATAAAATTCTCGATATTCTCCTGTTCATCTACAAAAAGATAAGCGGGGTACGTCGTCTCCGTGTTCAAGTCGTTGTATTTTTGTACATGAAATGGATGCAAATTTTCCTTTTTTAAAGTTTTCCATACTCTTATTATCGGTACTGCTAATTCATTACTAATTCTTCTTACACTGATAGAAGGATTATTTCGAGCTATCTGTAGTATCTCCTCTTCTTCTCGAAGATTATTTCTCGGAGCATGTTCATGTTTAATTGTAGGTGGAAACTTTCCATGTTGCTTACTGAATTCGAAACCTGCGAAAATGTCTTAGAATTTGGTAAACGGCGATTAGTAAAGCGTCTGCGATACTCTCTTATTGCTGCTCTACAGTTTCCGTTACAAAAACAGAACACAAAAATAATGTCTGCATATTCTTTATTACTAAATTAAAACGGCATCCTGAAATACTTATTTTCAACAAAAGTAATTTAGCTCAAAATACTGTACATAAAATAAATGATATTATTTGACACACGCCTACTGGTATTATACAATTTTACATTCATTATGTTTAAGACGGAATGAGTGATGGTGTAATTTGTCGCATATTGGCAGTTGATTAAATTGAGTTTTTAGCTCGTTTATAAAATATCTAGTTTTTGAACTTTTAAATTTGATTTCATCACAGTTTTAGTTCGTTTAAGTTTTAGTTCATTTTAATTTCCAAATATAATTACCTAAAGATGAACGTGGAGAGAGGAATGAATGAGGTGGTTCCAAATCATCTTTCTGTTAGTGTAAGAATTAGTAATGAATAAGCAGTACCTAGGTGCTAGAAACAAGTGTATGGAGAACTTAAAAAAAAATTAAATTTGTATCTATTTTATGTACAAAGAGTACAGCGACTTGAACACACATAAAATGTTTGGTGTGGAATTTATAAAAAATAACTTAATACCCAAGAACAGTTATTGAAAAAAATTAACCAAGTATGTAACAACATTAAAAATAAACCGAAAATAATTGACAAATCAGTGAAAAACCTGTTAAAACGTTCGCAGAGGTGTATTGACGTTCATGGTGTTCATTTTGAAAATCTACTTTAGTTTTAATTAATTATTTGTTTCTGTTAGTTTGTTCTATTACTTTATTAAATAAAGTGAGCCCGGTCCTGTGTAGATGTTCAATTTCCTAATGGCAAATGCAGATGGTACCTAAATTGTGTAGAGTTTTAAAAGTATAGAGTAAAATATTGTAAATATTGATTTACTCGTATAATATTGTAGGCGCCATTATAAAAATTTACTGTAAGAAAATCAAGATGGTGCTATTAAATATTACATTATTTTATTTATTGATCCTCGTACTATTTAAATGTGCAGTACCATTTATTAAAATCGATATACAGGGTGATATTCTAGCTAAGAAGAGCAATATAAAAAAAAGAGAATCCGGCCCTAGAATTTTTTAAAATTAAATTATTGTTTTGATTAACCTAAGAGAGTGTAACTTTTGTACAAAATTTTTTTAAAATATCTCTAGCCGTTCAAACAAAATTGGTGATTTTAGTTTAGGCAAAAAATCGTAAAACACCCTATATCTCAGAAACGAGTAAGATTAAAGGCCAAGTATGGGGGTGTTTTAAACTCAGCTAAGTGTACTCTACCTCCCATTAAGATGTGTCCGTTTAAATCTGAAACACCCTGTATAATCTCATCAATTTTGTATTCAGGTTACTATCTCAATATTTTACGCAAGCAGAGCTACATAATACCTAGTAATAAATTTGGCAACGTGGCATGAATCCTTCTTTTCGTCGTATTTTAAGTTTGGGCATGTCGCGCGGCTTTTGCTATTCTTGTCGATCTGTACTTTTCTTAGTTAAATATCAAAATAATAGTATATTCTGTAACAATGTTGGAATGAAAATTCGATACGAGTGGAAGATTCTGAACGCGCATACGCTCATTCCAACAGAGTAACATGCTGTACTTTCTCCATGGCCAGAGACACAGTGTAAGGAGTTGAAATAGTAAAATAAAACTTTGAACAAAATGAAATATTTAATCTAACTTATGTTAGTCAAGTTTTTACTTGAATCATTGGCATAATTTGTCAGTTTAGGTGGAGTAATATCAAATTCCATATCAGAATCATTATCTTCACCCATCTTTGAATTTAACTTCGACTCAACAAACGCGCTCTGCTTATCTTTATTCAGGCAAATTATAAATAATACGTCGCGTAGAACTGTCAACTATCAAATTCATGGTTATCTACGATGCAGGCGTGATATTCACAGCCATTGGCAAGTTAGCTAACACAGAATGAATATTCTACCACTAGAGTTAAAATCAAATATGTGTAAAATACAAAAGAGGCAAGTATTTCAGAATTTTCTTTCAATATCAAGAGCGAGAATGTTTTATTTCTGTTATTATGTGTTTTCGGAAGAACTACACATTCAGTAGTGGCCGTGGAAAAAGAATTATTCTTCATAAAACTTACTTTCACAACTTTCTAAAAATTGAATGCATTCTTCAATGATAGCATCTCTTAGCACAATCATGTGTTTAGCCAGATTTTCCAAAAGGCTGAGGAAACATCGTTTTACGTAAAACCAGGTATCAGTTCCTAATTTTTTGTCATAAGGCTCTAAAGATTTTATAACTCTTGAAATACCAAATTCGTAGTTTCCTTTGGAACAGTACAGGGTTCTAGAACGTAATGGAAAATATGTTGCTGAAGGAAAAGTAAGTACAAAAGATATTTCAAATAGATACATGACTAAAAATTATAATTAATAAAAAAACCAAACCACTTATAAATATTGTGGATTTTGAATAACTTTCCAACCTTTATAAAACTTGATGTGATACATTTTTAAAAGAACTAACCCTATAACAAGATTGACAATACAGTGATGAAAAATTTTCTTTTCTGGTTCTTCAAAAGCAATTTGATCTTCCTCCTTTTCAATTTTTCTCATAAGATCTTCAGCTTCTTCGTTTTGAGACGTCATTATATAAGAAACGCAAAGGTTGGCTAAGATGATTGGATTTACATTTAGTAGCTAAAAAAGAATGACAATTTGACAAATACAACTTATAAATTAAATATGATTTTGTGATGATGACGATTATACTTCTACGTTGTTGATACATATAACCTTCCATAACAATAACATTAGTTGTGGATATGATGAGAAAAATATGTTGGCCAAACCCAGTCAGAATCAAAGAACATATTTAAAATATTCTAAAGATTGTTTAATTTATTTATAGTTTATTTATTTAAAACACTTTATTTATAATTAATTTATATAGTACTTAGGCACTATTACAACTCACAATTCTAATTTATATATTACAATTTGTCTTTACTATCCAACACTTAATTTGAATCTTATCTTCTATCGACAAAATCGCGGCTATTTATATAAAAATGTAACACTCTCGAAAGAACCAACTCTGACTAGAAGCTCTGGAATTTCTAGAAATTATCATACACGCGTAAGACTGCGATGGAAAACATTCGAATCAGGGCTGGTATACCAGCCCTGCATTCGAATCGGTTTCTCGAGTTTCGAGACGGATCTTGATATAGCCAGCACTAGACTTCCTGTCGCGGGTATAGGAATAAACAAGGAACAGGGTTGGCTTGCACGACAATATGGTAGAACCCGAGAATTCTCGGGTAGAAAAGTAGAGAAGTAGTAAAATAAATAATTTTGTTAAATAAAGATATAGGGACTATACCGTATAGTCCTCTTTCTGTATTATATCATAAATATGAATCGGGTATTAGGCTAACCTACGCCATTTATACTGTGTAATTTTTTGTTGGTGTAATAAAAACGTTTATTATTATTATTATTATTATTATTAATAATAATTTTACTTACGTCTGAATAATTTTTCTTTACTAGAGGTTCGTAGAAGCCAGTAGCTTCTTTGAATTTATTTTCTTGCATGAATAGAACATGGGCTACGTTAAGTCTCCAAATATCATTGTCATTACAGAATTCAACACTTTTTCGGAATATTTTTTCAACTTGGGCATAGTTTTTCAAGTCCCAGTAGATTTTCGCTTGTGCCATTAAAACAGGTATATACCTAGAGATGCAATGTACTATAAAAATTGTTTTCCACACTACTTAGAATAGAATATAATATTTCCTGAGCCTCCAATTTCAGAAAAAGAAATTAGTGAGACCACAGAGTGACATAGGAACATAATGATGTACCTAAATAAGAAGGTATAAGGAATCATGACAAAGGATTTGGGTAAAATACCTGGGTAGCTATTCTTGAATTCGAGGCAATAGAAAACCGATTTTGCCTCTTTATCTGCAACGCGCAAAATTTGTATTTTTAAATCATTCTTCCCTCAAAATTTCTACTCCCTGAGATTCAAGAATAGATACCCAGGTTATATACATCATTAAGAACAATATAAAATAATACTAATATACAGTGGAGATAGCTTAATTCCGACATTTTTACACCTACTTCCCAGACAGCACAAAGACATCTTTAAGACGCCCATAAGACGTCTGTCAGAGACATGACAGACGTCTTATGACGCCGACCAGACGTCTTAAAGACATCTTTAAAACGTCTGATGTTACAAAAGGTAACGTTCTTAAGACATCTTGAATATGTCTGTTTTTCGACATTGTTAAGACGTACTCTCGGATTTAGTTTTAAAAGCTTTTGTAAATTCCTTCTATACAAAATAAAACCTATTTTCTATAAACATTATTATTAACAAAATACAGAAACATTTCGTAAAAAAAAGTAATATTACAAATTATTTTTTTTGGATCTTCCTCCGTTAGTGGTCGTTAATCTTCTGTCTGATACTCTTTTGAGCCAGTCTGGGTTGCAATAATTTTAACTGCGCTGTGTAAAATATTATGCATTATAGCTCACTCTGTCAAATTCGCTTAAATAGGATTTTCAGTAGATAGTGTGGGTTAAGGGCGGTCAAAGAATGGCAATCTTCCTGTACTTTCAACTCTAATTCAGATATATTTACATCCGATGTAGCTTCTAAGTCAGCTCTAGACGCCTAGACGTACTTAAAACACTAATAAGGGTTCTTCTATTTGGTTTTTCAGTATATGCAGTAAACTTTTATGCTTATAAATTCACAGTAATCCACGGCACAAGACACAAATAAAAAAATCAACGAATAACGAACAAAAACTAACCTCTCGGCTTTCATCTTCAACATCAACGACAAATGACAACGAAATGACAACAAAAGGACAACGCAGAACGCCACGAACCACAGAACCCCACATTCAGATACACGTCCTTGTTTAAATTCTACTGTTGAAAAAAGACAAAACATAATAAAAACATTCGCTTCGATCGTTGAACCAAGTTCCGGTCAAGTTGAAAGACCGCGTAATTCAATTTGTCTTAATATGTTTTAATTGTTAATTTTATTTAGTTATATTTATTATTATTATTATTATTTTTATGTTATCAAATATTTACTTATTTTAATGAACAAATGCTCCTGAATAAATAAAAAAATAAGTAAATTATGTAAACTCATAAAAAAAATATATATTTTGTGAAATTAGAAATGACATGTAAGCCAGTACTTTTTTAATGTTACCATTATTTTTTATATTTTTTAAATAGATAGGCATTTAAAAGACGTCTTTAAGACGTCTATTTATGTGTCCTAAAATACGTCTTTATAAAGACGTCTTTAAAACGTCTTTTTTAGGTCTTTAGGCGTTCAGTCATAACTACGACATAAAACAGACGTCTTTAAGATGTCGTGTGCTGTCTGGTTTCGAATAAGTTCGAAGTACTTATTGGTGTATTTCAAAGTACTTCGAGATACTTCCAGGTACTTCAAGATACTTCGAGGTACTTCAATAAATTCTCAAATTTTGTAACGGTTGGAACCGTTATTTCGTTATTTTGACACAATCACCCCTTACTCAAATGGCATTTGTCGTTTATGCCTTGTGTCAAAAATTTTCATTTTTCATTTCATTTGAATAGATCAAATAGGTCACATTTATTTTAATTTATCTTGGACATCCGATGTATTAAATGATTTTTATTTATCTTAAAAGTCCGTCTGATTTTATAAGCTCATGGCTATATCTAGACGGTTTTGGATTCATCTCTAGACGTTTTTGGATTCTTCTCTAGACGTTTTTGGATTCATCTCTAGACGTTTTTGATCTCATCTCTAGACAGTTCGTGTTCGAGTTTAAGTTCGAATACTGAAGATCATTCACACGTTTCATCACTAGACGTTTCATCCCAAGTCGGTTAAGTTTGAATACCATATATCGAATTACGAATTAGGATCCCGAATCCCTTGGTGGAAGTTGCCTGATGAAATACCGTGAGATAACCTAGATTTACATTCCGTATATTACCTAACTTACCAAAAGATAAGTGCATACTCAATAAATCGTTTTAAATTTAAATTTAGTACAACTTATGTGAATTAGAATTTGATAACTACCTTATCTAAAGCATAGTTTAAGTATTATTTGTTAGTGGTTAGTGATTTTCTATATTTTTGTCACTAATCTAGAGTCAAGTGTAGTAAGCTTTAAATATAGAGGTGCCCAACTTCTTTTTCAAAGTTATTCGAGTTATTTAAAAATCTAACCCACGCCCTATAAATTGAGCTCAAAAACATATAACAAGTAGATAGAATAACTAGATATCACGTTACAAAAATGGCACCTCAACTGGGTTAAATAGCTCTTTTTTTTTGTGTGTCATCGGCTTTAACTGCTAAGGTTATTTTGCCTCGTGTTCTGTGTAGGCTTTGTGACTGTTTCCCAGCGCTACTTTAGGAACAGCACTGTTAATTAGAACCCAACAGTAAATGGTCGAGTGGGGTTAAATAGCTCTTAACTTTGAAATAGTTTCCTTATAACTTATCGTTCTAATTCCCATAGATATATCACAAAGGTTAACTAAACTAACTGCATGTCTTGTATTTTTACTAATACTGTCTTACCTCTTATTTTAACCTTCTCTATAAATCTGCATATCGTATCGTCAAGTTTTATATAATATCTGCATTTTGTACTAGGTCCAGTGTTTATTTATACATATTTTGCTAGTGATATATCTAAATATTCATTATACATTGATAAAAGTGTATAGCATACCTAAAGTTGATTTTTGTGCCTATCGAGTAAAAATTTTTTTGTTAGTGATAAAATTTGTGCCTTCATTTAGTTAAATATATTCATTTTTACATTTTTTCTGACTATCCTCTTTATTAAAATGATTTCCAAACATTTAAAAACTCATGAGTTAACCTATGACATTTTAATCAGAGGGGTAGACTTCATTCTACTGTAGAACAAAAAAGAGAGGTTTTGAGTGGTTTGTTATCTCAAGAATCACACAATAGAAGTTTTTCAGAGAAAAATAATCCTTATAATCATGAAGATGATATCACAGAAATGGAATTGTCAATTAAAGAAGTCAATACAGAAATAGAAAATTTTACTGGTAATAAATCTGATCCAGCTTTTAAACGAATTAATTCTAGATTAGTTCACTTGTCTAATAGGGTGGCTAATTTAAAAGTAGACTGTGATGAAGAAGCTACATCTCAAAACACAATAAAAACAAAAATAATCATGTTAGAAGCTGATTTATCAGAAAAAATTAATAATTCTTCTAGTTTTAACTCTAGTACTGTATCTACAGAACAAGTTAGTTGTCCTTCATATACAAGTGTAGATGTTCATAAATGGGGTGTATTCTATGATGGTAACAATTCGTTGTTTGATTTTTTGGAACATGTTGAAATGTTAAGATTGTCTAGAGGTCTTTCGAAACAACAAGTGTTTCAACGTAGCTGTGATCTTTTAAAAGATGATGTTCTATTTTGGTATATGAATAATTGTTCTAAATTCACTGACTGGGTTCACCTTGTAGAACAATTAAAATTACAATTCTTACCTTGTGACTATCAATATAATTTAGAATTTTATAAATGTACCAGTCAATGTTGATAATATTACAAAAACTTTTGACACAAGGCATAAACGACCAATGACATTTGAGTAAGAGGTGATTGTGTCGAAATAACGGTTCCAACCGTTACAATTTGTAAGTTATTTGAAAATATAAAAGTAATATCCGAGAAAACACTAAGGTCAGGTAACTTTATGAGGTGTATGAACTAATGTTAATAATGACTAACACTTAACTATAACTTTAAATGTGTGAATTGGTAATTATACCTTGAAACTAGATATCGCTTAAAGAAGAAAATTCTTCAAATAAAAGTTGCCTGCAATATTATTTTTTATAATTTTTGTCCTATACAAAATTTTCCTATTCGAGAAAATTGACAAAAAGTAAAAAATTCAAAATTGTTCAATAAAATTTGTTTGTGATGTCATTCTCTCTAATTCTTGCCCTATATATTATTTCTCTAAAATTGACCGCATTCGATATATTTGAGAAAAAGAATAAATTTCAAATTTTGAAGATAACTCAACGGAATAATAAAAAACACCAACTTTTAAACTTAAGCTTTATTCCGGCCTGCGATGAGATGATTATATTTTAGGCATAGTCGAAGTATCTGGGGGAATACTTTAGGTTGTTTTTCTATTTTATGCAATATATCTTATTTAATACGCATTTTTTCCTGCGCAAGTTTTTTATTTATTTAAAGTTAAGTCTGAGATGATAGTTTAGTGTGCTGTGGATACTTATTCGCTCAGTGCGAATTCATGGTAGGGGAAGTAAAAGCGATATAAGCGCTAGCTGCGGATAATTCGTGCATTTTAGGGCGATATTTTGTAATTTTGGCATATCAAATACACGTATACATTTTAATTTTTTTTCAAAAAGTAGGTAAAAACAATACAATAAGCAACCGGAGTTCCCGTGTTGAAAATTGTAAAAATACTAGCAAAAAAAAAACAGTGAAAATTATGAAAATGTTCAGTAGCAAAGTGGAAATTTAATTAAAGAAATAAGTGGATAGGTGTACAATAAGAAAAACAATTACCTTTATTTTTGTAATAATAACAGTAATATTGGAAATAGTAGACATCAGAAACTTGAAAGGTTTTAAATCAACAATAACATCA